CATCGTGAAAGTAGCTCGTCATGAGGTCGAGTAGGTCTCGATCCATGTCCTCGTAACTGTGCCGGATGATATCGATCGCTGTCGACATCTTCTCCCAGGCCACTCCCCTGAGGCTGAGCTCGTCAGCGAGCTCGCTGACCTTTGTAAGGATCAACCGCCGTCCGTGCGTCTCTTTGATCCTAAAGCAACGGTTTCTAGTGGTTACTGAGGGCTAGTAGCTCTGTGGTCGGCTTTCGAGTCAACGAGCCACTGTTGTTGCTGTTTTGTGCGGCGAGAGTCACTCGCAGGACTGTACGAGCACAGGACCGCCTGCAACTTTTGTTAGCAATGTAGGCAAATAAGGTGCTTTACGTACCTATCAACCAGGTCAGGAGCCCCGATGAATTGACCAGGGCACTTGACGGAATCGCCTGTATAGTAAACTATTCGTCTGGATGACTCATTCACAACTGACCAACAGAGTCCAGAAGCCGGTCCAAGCAGCGCAAGCAGGGTGGGATCCAGGCCAAAGGGAGGGTGGTTGACGGGTACGGGTGGGAATGAGACAGTGGCGGCGGATTATTGACACCGAATAGGGAGGGGTCGGGGTACAAAACCACCCTGTCAGACGGGGAAGCTGCCAGAACTGTAGGTTCTAAATCGGTGTATAGACCGATGCTAGGACTTCTAGAAATGATGTTCAGTTGACCTTCGTAATGAAAGGCCGAGACTGAGAAGCGGGAGAAGGTCTGTCAGATTGTGCAATGACAGGTATTTTTATACAGGATGTCCGAGCTCAGAAGGTAATGTGTGACAGCAACATCATCCTATATTAATATGTAATAGAATGTCATGTTTGTTGATGGTGAAAGGTTGCATTGCTCAAAGATGAACTCATCATGAACGATATAAATGGGTAGCTCCATCCAGCATGAAGGACCTGATGGACAGTGAACATCAACGATGATAGATCGTGTTCACCTAAGGAAAGATGTGTCGATGTGGGAGAAAGAAATAGGGAAAGAAGTTGGAAAACTTTGGGGTTTATATACCCGGAGATGCGGGTGGCAAATTGTGTGATGCAAAACGCCTTGTGTGATGCAAAACGCCTTGCGTGATGTAAAAGAATGAATAACTCCCGACTTCATTCGCCATATGCTTCATCTCCAATTCGATTCATTGGCAGTCTGCGTGACGCCTGCATGACTAAAGGACAGTGAATAATCACAGCTTCCCTTTGCAACAACACCAACGACTTCATTCGCTATATGCTTCATCTCCGATTCGATTCATCAGCAGTCTGCGTGACGCCTGCACAGTGAATGACCGCAGCTTCCCTTTGCAACAACACCAACGACTTCATTGAGTGTTGGAAATGAATGGCAGCCTCCTTATAGGGCGGATAGTCAATTTGGGGGAATCATTCCCCGGCTTCTCGATCCACAGCTCTACAGCAACAGAGTGAATTACCAAGACTGAATGACAAACTTCCCCAGAGATTGGGCATGTGATTGAGGCGACATCCTCCATAGCTGTGTTATCCAACAGTGACAGCAACGGCACAAACTGTCAAACATGTATGACTCTCCTTTTAAGGGGATCTCTGGGTGGGGCTACACCCTTGACACAATTGCACTATTGGCTTTTCATTCCTCAATGGAGAGACAAATAAAAAAACCCCAAATTCTACCCTCATCAGCTGTCGGTATCATCTACCTGTCAAGCGGTGGTGACAATGGGCTTTGACTTCTCAACATGTAGACAGATGAACGGAGTCACAATTCCTGATTGGTCAGTCGTTGGCTTCCTCTTCCTACCAAACAACAATGACGTTAGGCTAAGCTGCGCAACAAGTAGACAAATGAAGAAGTCTGAGATCCGTCTTAAAATCCTTCTCCACGTAAGTGTCAAAAAGGAGAAAAAGTGAAGGCATAATCCCTGTATCGAACTGCGAGGATATATTGATATTCCACAAGTTGAACAGCGAAGCTTCATGTTGCGAAGCTACGGAGAAGTGAAATAGGCGCGCTCTCTTCCAAATGACTCGAATTGCTTTGACATGAAGACTCAGAAGCTCATGGGTACCTACCCCTTGCCGTATAACAGTACCACTAAGCCTATTCTCTCACTACTCATCTCCGGGGATGTTCGCATGCTTAAAGTACTTCATTCCCACCCAGGCAATTGTCACCCACACCCAAGCCATGACACTCGTAAGAATGATCAGCGCAGGATAATACCCCACGACTGGTAGTGTAGGATCATCCTCCAGCTCTGGCGGCGCATAAGGTGTCTCCCCTACATCCCAAGCCCAACTCCACACATCAAAACAGCTACCCATTCCCACAACGAAGAAAATCCAAGTCACAATGAGGATAATCCATCCCCACCAGCGTGTTTCGGAGTAGTCCCATTCCGAAGGAGGGGGGGAAGGAACAGTAGGCGGAAGCGAGGCAAGTGGGGAGGACCGTGAGCTCACTGTAATGTGTCGAGTAAGAGGGCGTACGAGCTGAGGTGGGAAATAGCTGTCTGGTTTGCTTTTGGGCAGAGGTGGAATGGCGATTAATGATGGTGAGATTGGGGATTCTTCTTCATCTGTGGTTGAGGCGGTCGAGTCGGCGGTCCTAGGGCGTTGGAGGGATGGAAATATTTGGTTCACTTTCTCCTGGGCTAAAATCTTGGATGGATCGCCATGGATTGGGTGGGTTCCAATTGGCACAGGAGGCGGTACGCTAGATATTGGACGAGGCGTTGACATGTCATACGGAGAAGGCGAGTTCATCAAAGCGACGCCTTCCGCAAAGGCGCTATCGTCCTGTATTCCTTCGACCGAGTCGACTTGTTCCAATTGAGACCCACGACGCTCTTTGCCCTCAGTGCGCAGCTTGCCTGTGCCTAGCAGAGCTGTTTTTCGAAGCGACCCTTTCCGTCTTCGGATACCTTTCTGTTGGACGGCCATTGCCATAGCGCTGGGTGGTCTTTGAGGGGCATCTTCCTCGGAAGGTGTCGTGGATGAAGAGTCTTTGTTGACATGGCCAGAGCCCTGGCTCGAAGATCGCTGGAATAGAAAAGCTGAGAGACTTCCTGAGAGACTTCTTCTATGACCGCTGCCGTTGCGAGTGAGGTTACTCGACTCTTGCTCGTGACTACTCGTCTCGGCGCTGCCATCGTTGCTCGAGGTGATGTGACCATCGTCCATTACTCCCTCAGCCGCAGCCCATCCATTCACTTTTGCTATCTTCGTATTCTCAGCTGCCAATGGTCTGAGCTGCTCATCCTGTCCTCCATTCCCGAGGACTATCTTAGCTACTCTCCATCTGCTTCAGTCAAAAGAGTGTCAAGCGTAGGGCAATTGAGTGCAGCTTGAAAGCTGCCACGCGCGCCACACACCAGATGCAGGGTCTTTTGCCAAGGAAATCTCGAAATCTTGGCGCCCACTCAGCCCTATCGAATATCAAAAAGTTCGAGACCAAAAAGACAAGAGGATTTTGGAAACTTCAAGGACTTCCCTACACACCACACCACAATAGCAGCCTCTCACGATGCCGAAATCAAAGCGCGCCAAAGTGGTGCACATGTCCAAAACCACCAAGAAAGGCAAAGAACTCACCATAAGACTCTACGCCAACATCCAAGAATGTATCCCCAAATATCCCTACATCTACGTCTTCAGCGTACACAACATGCGCAATACATATCTCAAAGATGTCCGGACGCAATTATCAGATAGCAGGTAGTCTCCCCCCCCTTCCCCGCCAAAAAAACTTTCTTTTCCCACAAGAACACAGCAGACTGACAAACCCCCAGACTCTTCTTCGGCAAAACAAAAGTAATGGCCGTCGCCCTCGGCCTCAGCCCCGAAACCGAACCCTACCCCCAAACCTCCCTCCTGACCCCCCACCTCCACGGTTCCGTCGGTCTCCTCTTCTCCCCCCGCCCCCCCTCCGCCATCCTCTCCTACTTCTCAACCTTCGTCCCCCTCGACTTCGCCCGCGCCGGCGGCACCGCTTCTCGGAGCTTCGTCCTTCCCGCCGGCATGTTGTACAGCCGCGGGGGGGACATACCGGAGGAAGAAGACGTGCCGTTGGCGCATAGCGTGGAGCCACACTTGAGGAAGTTGGGGCTGCCGACTAGGCTGGTGAAGGGGAAGGTGGAGTTGGATGGGGAGTTTGTGGTTTGTAGAGAGGGAGAAGTGTTGGGAAGTGGGCAGACGACATTGCTGAAGATGTTTGGGGTCGCGATGGCGGAGTTTAGGGTGGGGGTGGAGGCGCATTGGGAGAGAGAGACGGGGAAGGTTACAGTGGTGGGGGATGGGGTTGAGAAGAAGTTGGATGTTGAGGGGATGAATGTTGGAGGGGAAGAAAGTGAGGATGTGGATGTGGAGTCATGATTGGATGTCGGTGCAGCGTTTGGCTGCAAGCTGCATAGCGATGGCGTTAACGATGGGATATGAGCTTGAGCCTTTGCAAAATGCTACGAGCAATGTTCTACGGAAAAGCCGGAACATGAGGCCGCTTTTATGACTTCCTCCACCACGCATTCGCTAGTAATACAACTGCAAGAATTTATCAGAGTAGGGTCAGTAAGAACGACTCTGGATGGCCAGACGATCTTACCCGACCTTACCTAAGTGAAGCACGATGCACACTGCGGCATTAATTACATACCTACCGAGCAAAGGGAATAGAAAAATCATAGCACAAGAGGATACCACCACCTTCCCTGCTGAGCCCGAACCGTGTTGTAAATCTAAGTCGAAGGATGAGAGCACTGCTGTGCTATATTGGTCCCTCAAATTTGTTGCAGAAAGGTGAGAGGTGTCGGTTCCTGAGAAGTGTGACTGATGAAGCTGGAGATTGCCGAAGGTGTTGTAGCATGACGACCGGCTTACCCATCCAGCTGTCGAGGAAGTGTGAGTCGGAAACTGCATGCCTTACCCCGACGAAGGGAGAAAGAAAATGCTGATGCTGAAATGCTGAAATCGAGGGGACCCACCCAACAAACCAGATTTAGTCGGGAGACTAATACCTTCGTTTGCGAGGATCATCATACCCATCACCGTCGTACTGTCTCTTGCGATCGTCGCGACCGCCGCCACCGCCGCCATAGCTTCGGTCTCGATCTCTGTCTCCGTATCCGCCGCCATCTCTTGGTCTTACCGGTTCACGGTTGCTGCCAGTGATACCTCCTGAGCGGCCATCACCGTAACCGCCACCACCACCTCCTCGGTAGGATGATCTGTCGTCGAAGTCATTGCGTCTCGACTCACCACCACCATACCCACCACGAGGTCCATCCACGGGAGTTGGAGTGCCGTTCATACCACCGTTCACAGGAGGACTACCATGCCCACTGCCAAAGCCTCCACGGTTTCCGCCAGGGCCAGAAGGTGCATTCGGGGGTGCTGCTTGGGCATTACCGTAGCCATTGGGCGGTCCACCTCCATACCCACCTCTTCCTCCACCAAAGCCGTTTCCGCCTTGGTATCCAATCCCACCTCTTCCACCACCAAAGCCGCCGCGGTCGCCACCTCGGAAACCTCCTCGAAAGCCGCCACCGCGAGGAGCGCCACCAAATCCTCCTCGGAAACCACCGCCAAAGCCTCCGGGTCCGGCCGGAGCAGCGAGGCTTCCGCCGACCCCTGCAGGTCGAGCCGGCATAGCTTTGGTATACCCACGGCCTCCGAGTCCTCCTCCAAGGCGACGAGGTCTCCATCCTTTGACTGTACGGCCTCGCTCGACGTCGACAAGAACACGTCTATCTTTGATGCGGATACCATCGGTTTCTTTGTAGGCAGCTATATTCAATCATAAGGCACAGCCCCAGTGTCAGTCAACTATACAAACCTCGAGATGCAGACGTTGAGGTCACAAGAACTTGGCTTTTACATCATGCGGACGGGAAATGGAAGCAGTACCCTTCATATCTTTCTCACGCTCATACACCACGAAAGCATACCCTCGATGACCCTTTTTCTTTTTCTTTGATTTTCCATTCTCTTCCGCTTGAGAGGTGTCTGTGACGATGCGTATCTGGGATGGCAAAGTCAGCTAAGCAGCTCTGATAACTTCACCAAAAGCTTAATGTACCCTCTCAATAGGTCCAAACCTCCCAAACTCCCTCTCCAAATCCTTCTCCGTAGTATCATAGCTCAATCTCGCTACGAAAAGCGTCTTGAACGCGTCCCCTCTCACATTCGGATCATCACCGGGTTCTATCAAAGTCAGCCTACAATCTCAAACAAGTTAAATGGAAGGAAGGTGGGCGAATCGCATACTCTGCGATAAACCTTCTTTGATCAATTGCTCCTGCTTCTCCTTCTTCTCCAGCTTTACCCTATCCTTCCTCTGCAGCCAGCTTTCCGTTGGCTCGTAGGATATGTTCTCTTTGTAATCTTCGACTGCGGAGATGTATTGCGCGACACCGCCGATGTTGTTGGTTTTGCGCTCCTCGGGGGCATGGTCGTTAGGGGGCAGGTAGCGGAGGGCTGGGCGGGCGGCGAAGAGAGCCAAGAGGTTTGGGGGGAGTTTGTGCGTCATGTTAGAGATATGTAAGGTATTGATTCAGGTTGTAAGAGGATTGGAGTAGTCAAGGATGAAGTGTGCTCATTTGCAAGGAGGTGAAATTCGCGTCGTATTTGGAAAGCTCTAAACTTTTGACGCTAGACCGCTTTAGACTGCCAAGATATGAAATTCGAGTACCCAAGGAGACTCTCTTCTGCTTCTTCAACGTAAGTACCAGATATGCCACGACGGTCCCGGTAGTCTTAGAGGATGCCTGTATCGGCTCTACGAACGACATCGACCGCCCAAGTACGTTCGCTGCTGTAAGAGCCTGTCAAATAACTGACATCCATCTCAGAATGGCGTAGGTGCATTCATTCTCCAATGCAAACGCCTCGACTTCCACTACTGCGACAAATGGGGCAGCTCTAAAGGCATGAAGTACGTCTCTGGTACCATCACCATCAAGATTTCCTCTCATCTCTCCCACTTGTACTAACTCTACACCCCTCAGTACATTCCTCCGCTCTCCACTCATGGCGTCATTCGCAAAAGCCCACCCCCAAATCACCATCCACATCTCCCCCCGACCAAATACACATCCCATAGTACGGGGCTCGTACATCAATGGCCGGGAAAAGGTCATATGCGTCCGAAATCTCGAGAAAGAGCAGATCTTGCAGAAGGTAGAATTGCTGCGGGATGCGAACGGAGAGAAGGTGACGAGGGTCAGGGGGGGCAGGGTCGTGGGAAGTTTGAACGAGGGGGTGAGAGGGCTGTGGGATCCGTTCCATGGGGTAAAAAAAGGCAGACTAGACGAAATACTGGGGGGTATGGGTGTGTCGAATAAAGGGGTGTAAGTGGTGAAAAGTGACAATTGGTTGGCACAGGATTCTCTCCCAGGTGATGAGTGGATTGAGTGCTATCAATCAAGGCAGCCACAGCCATTGTATCCTGCTATTTATCTTGACCGTCTGATCCGCACTCACAACCTCCACTGAGCGATTCATTGTTTCGCATTAATGATATCAACAACTGCGAACCCAAGTCAGCAACATCCAGAACAGGTCGAAGGAACACACTTACAAGCAGGTTTCAGACTTGCCCCTCCCACGAGGAAGCCATCGATATCTCCCTCCTTCGCCAACTCCTTGCAATTCTTCTCACTCACGCTGCCGCCATAGATTATCCTCGTGGCCTCCGCTGCTTCTTTCGAAACGGTCTCGGCCAACCATTTTCGTATTTCAGCATGGACTTCTTGTGCTTGATTTGTGGTGGCCACTTTCCCGGTGCCGATGGCCCAGACGGGCTCATATGCGATGACAATCTTAGACCAATCTTTCGTCTTTTCCGCCACGGCGTTGAGCTGCGTGGTCACCACTTCGATGGTCTTGTTGCTTTCCCGTTGCTTCACCCCCATCAGCCTGGGAGTGATTCTCACACAGATTTAGCCCTGCTCACCTCAAGTGTTTCTCCACAGCACAGTATGACCCCCAGGCCTCCATCAAGTGCTGCCTTCGTCTTACTCGCAACGAACTATATCCGACAAAGGACTTGTCAGCCCCATTTTCATTCCCAATATCGACACTGAGCTTCCCCGAAGTTCTGTCTCTTTTTGGCCTCCCGTTACTGGTTCGAGGCCGATGGGATAGGTTCTCTTACATCATCCTTCTCCCCAAGAATAACCCTCCGCTCACTATGTCCGCACAACGCCCACCCAATCTTGCTGTCACTCAATTGCTCCGCGCTAATCTCTCCCGTAAAAGCGCCATTGGGTTTGTCAAAGACGTTCTGGCTGCACACTTCGATTTCATTCTTGAGGTGTTCGCGAACGAGGAGCAGGAAGAGGCCGGGTGGGGCGATGACGACTTCTGTTTTGGGGTCGAGAGGAGCGGAGTTGAGGTGGTGTACGATGTCTGTAACAGACTTGATCGTGCCATTCCTGAGCAGCTCAGTCAATTGGACGTTCTGGCGTGTAACACTGACACTTCAGCTCTCGGGGAAACGAACATCTTGAAATTCCCACCGACGAAGAATTGGCGTCCCATGGTTGCGGTTGGGAGCTGGGAGCTGGTTAATGTATTTAAGGCACTTGCAATTGAGTTGAAAGTACAATGAGACGCAAAGAGAGAGATCTATGTAGGCAAGGTTGTGTTTTGAAGTTGAACGTCTGTTTTCAATCGAGGATTTCTTTTGGTAGTGGTGGTGGGGCAAGCTCCGAGTCTCGGGTGTGGGGGCACTGGACGGAGGATGCTGACAGCTCTCCTGTAAGATAATTTAGGATGATTACTCTACTCTACTTTACAAAATATTGCTCTATGGTCCATCTACCGGAGAATTGCTACTGCTAGGTTGCACTATCTGAATAAGACGAATTGAGGCACTTGATGGGAAGTAGGTTGAAGAGTTGAACGGATTATCCTCCGCATCGACGAGCCAGCTCAAGCTATCAAGAAGACACTTTCATAAAGGACGTTTCGCATAGCCGTATTACCTCCCCAACTAAGATTTTCATGTCTCTTTTTTTTGGTTTTCGACTTCGATGGAAAGGCTCCGGAAAACAAAGCAATGTTGCGAAGACAGAGTTCAAGTCGTCCTGGTATCATAACAACATGAAAGAAAAAGCAAAGACCAGACATCCGCCTGTCAGACCCTGAATTAAAACCCAAACATCACCAAGGTAATTCTTTTTTTCGGTTAAAAGGAGCAACATCAGTAGCGATCATCGTGATAACCGTGCAAGTGATCGTCGTGATAGCCATGCATCCTGTCCATTCGAGGCCGAGGAGGCGCATGATACGTCCTCTCTGAATCCATCCTTTCCCTAGCCGCGTCTCTGCGAGCTCGTTCCCTCATCCTGATAGCCTCTTCCTTTTCCCAGATTTCTCTGTCCAGCATGTCATGCCTTCGTCGCTCTGCCCTCTCCTCGTAGGGGTCGACTGGTTGCGCAGTGCTAGTAATCCTCCTGCGATAAATAGTAGGCCGCCGACCGGGTCCTCTCATGTCATGATCATGAAGACGTTCATCGTCATAGCTCATGGCCCGATGATGATAAGGAGGACGTTCTCTGGGGTACATTGGCTCCGGCCTACGGTGAGAGGTGAACGCGGGCTCAACATAAACATCTTCATGTCGATAGCGGGATCTGTGAGACGGAGGAGGGGATGCCAGCCTGCGCGTGGGCTCTTTCCGTTTGTGTTCACGATAAATCATTTTAACGGGCTCATGCTCATGGTCGTGGGAGCTTGATTTGCGGTGATGCTTGCCTTTATGGTGTTTCTTGTCCTTGTGATGGTAGTGAGAGCCTTCGCTGGAGATGATTGTGTCAGGTGTTCGGTCGGTGTCACCAGAGGACGCTTCACTGTCGGACGATGAGGAAGAATCCGAACGGTGATCGTGCAACTTGTGACTCTCGTGTTTTGAGATGACGACTATCTTAGGAGATTTAGTCTCTTTGTCCTTGCGCTTTTTGGCCTTTTCTTTTTGGCCATGCTTAGTATTGTGAGCCTCCTCATGGAATGGAGGATGATCCTGATGAGGGTGGAGGGGTTGTTCTAAACCGTGGGCATGTTGATTGCCGGGGTGGTCATGGCTATGGGCATGGGTGTTGCCGAAATCGTGGGACGGTGCGTTCTCGTACGAGTGAGCATGGTGAGCCTGAGGTCTTCCGTCAGGATGAACGACATGCCCCCAAGGCTCACTCACGTGGCGCTCAAACGGGTAGGCTCCAGGTTTGTGACCATTGGAACTGTTCTGACTTGACTTCTCATAATCATCTGCGCCCGAAAGATCAACGATCCCACTTAACGGCAGGCGAACGCTGCCAAAGCCCATGACAGGGCCTTGCATGTCAATACCGGTGCGGGGTTGGCGTTTCAAGATGACTTGCATGTTTGATGTCTCGAGGCCGCTTTGTCGTCGCCTTGTGTCGCGCCTAATGGAGGCAATGATGTATTCGAACCTCGGGTCTGGTTCCATTGCGACACATTCTCGAATAAGTTCGTCAATTTGCTTCCGCTTGAAACCTTTCATGTCGGAATGCATGTATTGATCTAATCCTGTAACACCCCTTTTGCGGTGCTTTTCGATTTGATTTTTTAGGTCGGCTTGGGAGGCCGGCATTGGCTCTTTGTGAACAATTGCCCATGTCTCCTTCTGTCCGACGTGCTCAACAGGGTTCTTGGTGAAAATATAACCGGCGTAGCCGACGGGGGGTTTGCCATTGCTAGGGAACGAGCGAGGATCGGGCATGTGGCCATACCCAGGCGGTTGAATGACTTGAATGGCAGGTTGGTGCATGTTGTGTTCGAGATGATGACCAGGGTCAAGGTGGACATGCCCGAAGTCATTGACCAGCCCAGGCATACCTGGAAAGCCTGGCCGCATAACTGGCGGCGGCGCTGGGGGAGCATGTGGCATTTGATGCTGCTGCATATTGCTTTCAAAGACTGCCTCGAAGAGAACGGCAGAGCTGGACCCAGATTTGAAGGGATTCGAAAGAAGGCACAGCGAGAGCTGTTCTTTGTAAAGATAGAGGGGAAGGGAGAGAGACGGGACCAATTTGGCGGCAGTCTTGCTGTATGTATGTGGAAAATATCCTTCACCACCCTGGGGCTTGAGGCAGCAGCGTCGTAGTCTGTAAAAAGATTCGGAAGGACACAGCAAGGCAAAGAATGAAGATGTTTGATGAGGATGGTAGTGGGAGATGCCTTGTATTTAGCTTCGAATTGGCACAAGATGGTGTCGTGATCGCCTCGCAGGATTCCTCTAGTGAGTGCCCGATTTCTAAGAGCACCGAGTTAGCAGTTAGCAACCCGTCTAGAATATGAGACGAAGAGAAAAGACGTGGAGTTGAACTTATAAACAGGGTAGGTACATATAAAGTTGCGATAAGGCGGGGATCACATTGGACAGCCTGCCTGCAGGACGTTCTACCTACGCCCCAGGCTCCCATGGCTCCCGTGACCGCAGTCTGCAGCCGTTCGAGGCTTGGATGGTGCTGAACGAATGAAACGCTTACAGCTTGCATAAGGGCCATCGGACCAGCTGAAATATTGTCAAGGATCAGACAAATCAAACCCTAGTCGATGATTGACTTCAATTGACAGCATTACATTTGATGAGGTGTTCGAATACCTCTTAGGAAGTCCTAGGTCATACCTACTACTGTACATATGTTATGCATCAGTATCTGCATGTTGTGCTTTACCGTCATAGATTAGCAGGCCTGATCGTCAATGCATGAACATGAACTATTGCAGTAATATATTCCGGCGAGACTCCATAATGACATTGGGGAGAAGAAGAGGGCGCTTCCACGTAGCAAGCAGGGCGCCGCGTTTTCAGGCATCCCACCACTCTGTCCTCATGGCCCCCATGGTGTATTGGCCGGTACCCCAGTAAGCGGCGAAGCTTTGGGGCGTCATGCATCGGGCAAGTTATGGAGGAGAAGTGGATTGGAAGTGATGCTCTGAGCATGAAACGTGCCAGGCCGGTGATGAAAGGGAGGGGTGGCGAAGCCCATGAGGCCTGCAAACTGGGCGTTTGCAGGGCGCAGAAGCGCAGAAAGCTACGGTAACGGAGGTGACTACTGCAGCCTTGGGCAGGGCAGAATTCCTTTACCTGAGGCTGAGGCCGCCTCACCTTCGTGCGCCCGATGGATGCCGATGTTTCGTCTCCCCATCCTTGGGATACCTACCTTGATACTTTCCTATCATCAAAACAAAGTGGTTATTCAATCACAAATGCTTTTTTGCAAAGCTGAATCTGAGACATCAGAGACAAGCGCCATTGGCTACCCTACTAGCTGCTTGATTGTTTCGACCAACAGAGATTGCTATTTCTATCCCAGCCCCAACACTGAGTAGACATATATGGCAAAGGCGCATACAGAGTGCCATACTTTTCCGTGTCCGCTGATCACTACTCTTCCGATAACTAGGATGGTCAAGTGGTCAAGGATAAAGTGAATGCTTTGTGCGTACTTGTACTCTAAGATAAAATCTTCCACGGAGGAAGATGTAAGATGCATTGCATGTACAGCTGGCCCTGTATCAAGCGACATGACAAAGACTTATCCTTCTCAAATTGCAAGTGGACTGTTATGTTGTTAAGGATGCATCAATTGAATTTTCTGTTGCCTATTGGGAACTAATAAACAAAAGAAACGACCCTCCTTGCCCTCATCTTCACACCAGTCGAAACCCTCGGCAACCGAAATCCGTCCGTCCACGTACTTCGAAGAACTTCGAAGAAGGAGTCGGACTTCGGGAACGACAAGCCACGTTTAATAAGACAACTGAATGAAGACTTGCATGGGAACAAAACGTTTGACGGACACAAGGAAACTTGCCCCTCTTTTGGATCTCTTCCCCATCAACCTCCGCCGTGCCATTACGTGTTATCCACAGCATGTGTGTCGTTCGCGATAGTGGTATCATCAAACAAAAGCAGTCCAAGCCACAACAACTGAAAGGGGGTATCTAAGCACTGCCGCTCAGGACTGGGTTGCTCATGCCAAGCGTGGTGTGGCCGGAACGAACGTTGCCGTCAGTTAAACCGCCGTTGGCAGCTCCGGATGTGTTCTTCAAGGAGTAGTCATTGGCCGAGGTGGTGTTGCCAAATGACTGGTCAACTTGGCTGCTGAAGCCAGAAGAGCCGTTGGCCTGGTTGTAGCCTTGTCCCGTTGAGCCGTAACCCTGACCACTCTGGCCGTAACTCTGACCACCCTGGCTGTAACCCTGACCACTCTGGCCGTAGCCCTGCTCACTTCTTGGCTGAGCTTGACCGAAGGTAGATTGGCCCGCCTCAAGATTCTGGGCACCTTTCACACCACCCGAGGCGGCATTGTGTGGCTTTCGGCCAACCTTGGCAATGGTAGGAAGGTTTCTAGTCTCAGCTGCTGAACCAATGCCAAAGATAGGTGACTCCCATTTGTCGCCCTTGGCAGCAAGTTGCTTGTACTCGGTGGCCTTGGATGAGATGCCGCCTGGTAGCTTGATCTCAGGGAAGATGGAGTCCATCTGGGTCATGGCAACGTTAGCCTTCTTATCGGCAGCGGCGTCTTGAGCCTTCTGTTGTTTCTTGGTGAAATTGTTCTGGGCGGCGGTAACATAGCGGCTGTAAATGTTTGGCGCGTTCTCCGGGTCGTTCTGCGCAGCGCGGCCGGCCTTGTCGGCCTCTTGGTAAATGGCATACGCTTTGGCATCGGCGTTGTGCACTTGATCCTTGATCAACTTCTCAAGAACCTTGCCAACAGCGGGTCGAAGAACGGCGAACATCAACGGTCTGAAGAGGTTGAAGAGGGTCTTGTGCTTGGATTGCTTCAACTTGATGGTAAGGCTCTTGATGTCGACGGTGACGGTGTTAATCTTGAAGAAGTGCTGACGGTCAGACTTGTCCGCAGTCTCCATAGCTATCTTGAAGCTGAAACCTGAGCCACCCATAAAAATGTCCATAACACCAGTGTCCTTGAGAGAGGGGAAACCTTGTTTCTTGTGGACGTAATAGCTGACGTCTTTCAAGTCCATCTGAACGCCAGATACCGAGACCATGACCTTACTCTTGTTCTTGCTGGTGACGGTCTTGCGTCCCCAGCGGAAGTAATTGTCGCTACTGAATTCGAACGAGTTGGGTGCAAGGTTGTCGCTCTCGATGACCAAGTTCTCAATGATGGCGTCGATCATAGGGTCGGTGTACTCGATCCTAGGGACAGGCACGTAACGCACGCTCTCAAAGATACTAGGAACGATTACAGTGCTAAGATCCTTAAGAAGGTGCGGCTTGAAAGTGGGCTTGCCATTTTGGTCATTGCCGAGGTCGTTGAACAACTTTTGCATAGACTCGGCGAAGCGACGGTTCTGTGCATCTTCGTCGAACTGTTGGCCGAAGAACTTGAACTCATCGAGAACGCGGTTGGTGTGGTCGCGGTAGCGCTCTTTGAGGAGGAAGTTGCCCTTGTCGGACAGGTCATTCCATTCTTCGGTCGCACGGTCTTGCATGATGAAGCCAGACTCCTTCAGGCATTTGCGCACGTAGCGGTCTATTGACTTGAACCATCCTTTGAGCTCGGGATCCTTGTCAGCATCACGGTAGACGGCATTGATCGAGTCAACGAGATCGTCGGCCGATGTAGAGTTGGCGAAGCGCTCGAGTAAAGTCTTGATGGAGGTCAGCATTCCGCTGTTCTCGGACATGAAACCTAGAACGGACCTTTAAATCAGTCTCAGCGGACGTCAAAGCGGTATCGCTATGTGCACCTTTGACGGTTCCTGCACCCTGTTGAGAAAGGTTCTTGCTGTGTCCTCCGTACTCCTCGGCAAGAGAGAGAAGTGTCTCAACCGACTGCTGGTCTAGAGATGTGTTAGTCTAAAGCATCTTCTTTGTTCCGATCGTGGCTTACAGTCTGAATGACTCTGTATTTCAACTATCATCTTCTTCAAGCGAAAGATGGTTTGATCCCGACGCTCCTTTGGCACCTTTTCCCTCATGTAGTTCTTGGTCCTATCACGGCCATCGCGCGCCTTGTCCTTGGCCTTGTCCTTGGTCTCGTCTGGAACGTTCGCCGAAGCTTGATCACGAAGGTTGCTCGCCGCATTATTGGCACCGGCGCGAGGATCCATGTCCGACTCAGTTCCCTGATCCCGGGACTCGGCTTCGAGCGCCGCAGCATCTGCAGGGTCACGAGATCCCGATGGGTGGGCAGATTGGGTGGCATCTCCAGCTGCATTTTGCACATCATTACGAGAAAATGGCTTCTGCTTGTTGTATTGGTCCTTGGCTTGAGACTTGAGGTTGGAAGCGCTCAAGTTAGGGACATCGTGCCACGTATTATCATCGGCTGGATCGTCAATCTGGTTTAAGGCATCTTCGGATGGGTTGATCTTGGTGGCGGTTTTCTGGGCGGCGTCACCAGCGATGTCGCGGAGCAGGACGGAAGCGTCACTCACTGGGAAAAGATATCAGCATTGCATCGGAAGGGGAGGAGGAGGGAAAGATAGTGCTTACAGAGCTTCCGGAATTGACCGTTGGAGAGTACAAGCGTGCCGAGCGTCCTCAGACCTTCAAGAGCCTGGTTGCCGTGCTGCTGAGCGGTGTTTCTATCGATTGGTGCTCCTGGCAGCTTGGTTTGGCCACCAGAGACCTGGCCAGTTTGGTAGATGAAATCTTGCAACAGGTTGCCCTCATTCTTGGTCAGAAGCAAGACCTTGGCTTGCTCGATGACATTGCGAAGGTCAGCCACAAGATGACGGCCTTCTTCCGAGAGCTTGGGCGAGGGACTGGACAGGGCTTTGGATGCGACGGCGGAGTTCAGGGCAACATCAATTTGTTTGTTCTGAAAGACAAGAGATTAGCATGCAAGGACGTGGGACGGACAGATGGATAGTGATGACTTACCGATGGGACTTTGCCATTTGCGAAGGCTATTCGGATGGAAGATGTTAGCCGGTAATTCCTCCGCAGATCACGTTACCCAGCGAAAATGCAGCGCGATCACGGGCGCACGTACCTGAGTAGATGCCATATAGCTGAAGCTTTTGATTCACATCGGCCTCTTTTTGCTTGACCTGCAAAGCATCAGTAGGATATCCTGAATGGAACAGAGGCCGAGGCGGTCACATTTGTTGGGCGGTTGACGGTCGTCATGGTAGTGGAAGGAGCTTTGTTGCTGTACTGTGCTTTGCTGTGCGAAGATAACGACACTGGGGGGGGGTATCAAATGCAATTAGAAGGTTGTACAATTAAAAAGCTCTACTTGACTATGTTGTTGCCAATAGTAGAAGAGGAATGTGATAATTGATTTTGGAGGAGTTGTGTGATGAAAAAGAGAGATGCAGTGTTGAGGATGGAGAAGTTGGGTTTTGGGCGTCGGGTCAGGGCGTGATGGGAATTATTTTGGGTCTTGGCACTGAGAAAACAAGGCAGGGGAGATGGAAGGGGGGGGGAAAGAAGGATCGACCGAATAGCAAGATGAGGAGAGAGTGTCAGGACTAGGAGAGAAAGCAAAAGCGGCAAGAAGACTATCAGTCGGTTGGCAAGTTCTCATTGGTCAGAATGATGAACGCAATCTCCTCTGAGTCCTCCCCTTTTATTGCCCTCAGCCCCTTAATTGCTGCTTTTCTTTTCACCCTCACGGCTCCAAGTTTCACCTCATTTCAGGCTTAGGCGAAACAGAATCTCCACGTCATCATCATCATTACTTTACACATTACATAGTACTTTTTGAAATCATTAAAGTATTAATTCTCCATTCGGCAAAAATAACAAAACGCGTCCACTTCAAATTAAATATTAAATGACGTGACGCCGTCTATTGACTGCTCCTAAGATCTCGTACTCCTTTTCTAAATTGGCCTCCATACTCATATTGATTGGCCTGCTGCTTGATCCGGTCTGACCCCTCAATGCATGTCCCAACTCCCAGGCTCCCCACCAGCCGTTGCTGTAATTTAGCCGAATGCTGCAGCTGATGCAGAGGCGATAACTGCTACTCGTATGATCAACCGATCTGGAGCAGGCCATTTCGTCATTATGGCCCGCTCATAACGCCCTTGTTCAGACTTCGGAACGATGATGCGCTTGGCTTCACGAGCCACGCTTCATGCAGAACGCCACACTTATCGTGGCTGATCTCCATCAAAATACGAGACAGTAAAGCGCGCCAGTTATTAGCAATGACAACTGCTTTAGTGACGTGCTTGGGAACTCCTAGTCGAGATTCAAATATCACCGAGAAATGAAAGTCACGTGATCAAATATTGGCCCTGACTCCTCAGGGGACATTGGCTTGTATTATTTTTGAAGCGCGCAGCAAGTGTGATAGAGTGGAGGAGCTACGCGTTCATTGCGCCTGACATAGCCAGGCATCGTTGCTTTTGTCGAAGCAGCACCAGTAAGCAGACATCTGTGCAATCAGCGGGTTCAACGGAACAGAATGTGCTGAATGCGATGCCTTTCTATAATACAAAGGCATTCTTCGCAGTCGTACATACCAAGTCCTGCCATACCTGCTCGTAGTTAATTGAAAAAAACCAAAGCTTAAGCGGCGTTACATACTTTGGAATCCTACCAACACCTCAGCGTCAAGCGGTCTCCATAAGGCCTCAGTCTACGGAGAAATACGGTAAATGTACGTGACTGCTCGTCTCTGCCAATGTACCGGAATCCGATCATTCCATTCCTTCTTGTTCATCAGATCTTCAAAGTAAAACTTCGGAGACCATACCCAACTATCTGCAATCTTTCGATGGCCGGTAGCCCAAGTTTCGTATGTTCTGTATACCTGCTGCATCGTCTTTTCTCTATTTCAACTGTCATGTTCTGCTTGACCCTTGGACTTCCCCTATCTGACGCAAATCTACGTCCAGAAGTCAAGAAAATGTGCAGATTCCTCGTGTACAAAGGCAAAGATGAGATCCTCCTCTCAAAGCTCATCCTCGAACCACAGCATTCAATCCTGACTCAGTCCTACGACTCACGCCTACGCATGGTAAGCAGCCATGCAAACGTCACTCCGCAGTGAAGTGAACCCCAATTGACGACACTTTCTACGGTCTAGGACCACCGCCGCCCTCACAACGGCGACGGCTTCGGCATTGGCTACTACACACCACCAACCCTCGGACCCGACCCTTGCCTTTTTACCAGCACAACGCCCGCTTGGAACTGCATCAATCTCTCTCGCCTCGCCTCCAAAACCACATCCTCTTTGATCTTCGCCCATGTACGCGCGACGACCGAGGGCAGCCTTTCGGATTCGAACTGCCACCCTTTCTCCCACGGCAGTCTCATGTTCATGCACAACGGCAACATTGCCTGCTGGAGACATGTCAAACGAGAAATCGCGTTGAGCGTAGGGCAGAAATGGTTCGTGGGAGTTCAAGGAAATACTGACAGCGAATGGGCTTTTGCCCTCTTTCTGGACTGTCTGGAGAAAGCCGGCTTTGACCCGGACAGCGAGGAGTACACGGCCAACGGTTTCGGGCACACGGTGCTCAGGAAGGCGATGCTTCGGACGATCAAGCTCATCAACCGCTTCGTGGACGCCACACCGTCGGAGCTGAGGGACGAAATGATGGATAAGCGGAGTCTTCTGAACTTTGCCGTGTCTGATGGTCATAGCGTCGTGTGCACGAGGTACGTGAGCAGTACCACCGACGAAGCTGCCTCTCTGTACTTTTCCTCCGGTACGAGCTGGAAGCAGGGCGAAGGACCGGGGCAGTACAAGATGGAGAGGAGAGACAAAGGGGCCGATATCGTGCTCGTGGCTAGCGAGCCCTTGACTTTCGAGAGAGGTAGGACTTCCATGCCCCACATCGACGCACTGTATTTGGCTGCCTTGTTCGGAGTACTGACAAGATCCTGGCAGACAATTGGGTCACAGTCCCCACAAACAGCACCATTACAATACACAAACAAACAGTCATGATCCACCCTATCATCGACGAGTACTACAATCACAGCCCTTCGTATACGAGATCAAGTGGCTTTGCGGTGAGCAAAGGCCTCGTTAGCAACGCGCCGGGGGCTACGCAGGCAATCACGCCTGGGAATTTGGGGAACGCTGTAGCAACGTAGGGTTGGAACGACGTTGACATGAATCCGTAATGACAATCATCTCCAAAAATTCGATGCCACAATGCACTGCTCTATGCTCTATGCAACGCTAAGACTCCAACTCTAAATGGTATCATGCCGCGTTCATAGCCTCGCCGCCAGGGCACAAGCCTCTATGTGCATTGAGAATCCTTCGTACTCAAAAGCGATCCAAATCAAACTGTACACTGACCTCCCATCTCGTCCCTCCACCTCCGTATCCACCACCCAATCTCCCCTTCACTAATCCTGTCACTCTGTCCCTCAGTCTGCTCAGCCCCTCCTCGCTACCCCTGACCCTCAGCGTCAGACACGCCATACACAGCCCATAATGTACCTGCCAGAACTTCGCACCCTCGATCGCCGTCACCGACGGGTCGGACTCTATATCGCGCATTATATCGGCGACAGTGTTACCGCTGTCATAGGACATGAGGAGCATGAAGCCGAGGGTGCGCACGAGACGGAAGCCGAGGATGCACATGGATAGCGCGATGGTCGTAGAGAGGGCACGGTCGAGCCAGAGGTAGACCTTTATGCTCAGGAGAGGGAGGAGAAGCAGAAGAAGCGAGCAGGAGATGGTGAGGAAATGTGAGGGGTTAGCTAGGATCGACGGTAGAGATTCGATATAGGCGAAGCGCATAGCTTTCCCTATACGGGCGTGATTCTTGAGGCCCAAAGCGGATACGAGGGTAGCAACAATGGCAAGCACTGAAGCAGAATCGACTTCGCCGGCTGATACTCGCTCATGGCCATGGCTGTGGTGAGCCTCATGCGATCCCAGACCCTCGAGCACATGCTGTAGATTGTGAGAGATGAGATCTAGGCCCATAAAAAGAAGGAGGACCGACATGGCGAAGCCGGCGAGAACTTCTGCGCGCTCGAGTCCGAAGGGATGCCGTATTGAAGAGCGTTTCCACACTTCGAAATTGCCGAGTATGTCCACGACAACGCAGAGCATGGCGCCCAGGGAGTCAAAGAGGATGAGGTGGGAGAGGGCAGTGAGGGCGAGGGAGCCTTCGGCTGACCATAGAGTGTAGGCTGCGACCGCCATGTGGCATATTGACCACCAGAAGCGGGTGTTTTGATCTTTAGACATGGACTTCCGGCATTCTTTGAGAGTAGGAATGGGTAGGGAATTTGGGAGAGCAAGAGGAGCGCGCGGTTCGGGTTCAAGGAAAAATTGGTGTGAGACGCTGCTGTGTTTATACTTGTGGCCTCTTCTTTGGCCGATGTTCTGGAAAAAAGGGGGGATTAGTATCATTGATGTGTAAATGTTCGAAGTGGGCGGTTTACAGATTTTGTGACTGGCGCTTTTGGCATCAACGAAGGCTGAAAGTTGAATACGCCCTTAGAATCCTCCACCATGAGTGTACTGCCGTAGCTTGTATTGCTTTCGACGGACATGGGACTGTTCATGGCATTTGGGTCGGAAGTACTCAGGGGGAGAGTCGTTGTCGCATAGCCATCCCTTGAACTGTACCGTTGGACAGGGAAGTTCTCATCCATGGGTGATAGGGAGCTAGGATCGAAGACCGACTTGGTGGGAGAATTGGCGAATCTGTCCAAGTCTCCATCTTCGTCGAGCGGAGGAGTAGGCGTTCGAGGGGGAAGGAGAATGGTGGGATGCTCTGAAGCCATCGCTGCTTTGTGGAGGTTATTTAGCGCCGTAGTATCATTGTTGAAAGCAATTCATTATTGAGCCGCTTGCAGACACAAAATGGTACGTCGAACGTATTGAGACAACAGGAGACTGCTCTTTGAGTTGGGTGTCTGTTGATCAAAAGCACCTCGGAGATTTCGGCGACATGACTCCCGCTTGGGTCAAGAACGGCCTGACGGCTGACAGCAGGCCTAACGGTTTTCCACAAAACCAGAAGATGCTGTTCTTCAGCCTATCTTGAAGGTTAAGCAGTTGTTAATCAACATGATACTGAGGAAAGCTTGAGTATCTTGACCCAAGATGCTTGGGTTCATGGACTACGTCCAGAATGCCTTCTACGAAGCATCCCGCTGGGACAGGGATAATTCATATGGCACGTTGACCGCAACATCTAGAAGTAGGTATACATATCAGACAATATTTTCAATTGTGCCTCCAGCTAACTGTGATAGATATCCTCGACTTCTCGACGCCCGAAGGCCTCCGCTTTCACGTCTCCTCACTCTCCTCTCCCAATTTTGCTACATCATATACTCTGGGCAGCATCGGCCTTGTAGATGGTTCGCTCTCATACCTCTACTCATCTTTGCCTCTACCGAGACTCGCCGCCAAGAGCAGTGCCATTGATCTCCATCATCTCGTTCCGGGCTATCGCCAATTGCAGGATCTGCGCCAGCCTGATGAGCCTTGGTGGTGGGAGATATGGCACCAAGGGAAACGAATAGATCGACGAGGTTAGTCAGTCCTCATGGAAAGCTTTCCGTACACTTTCGCTCATCGTCTTATTGAACAGAGGCTTTACTCTACGGCCGTTTATTCTTGCCTCGTTCTACCCTCGAAGCCCTCTACCTTCGGCGCTTGAGCCCCAAGACACAGCTCAAAGTATCCTGCGTCAGCGACTCTCGTCTGCCCAATGGCGGCACGATTCTTGCTCATCTCCAGCATGACGCAGCAAAGCATAATACAGAATACATCTACAGCACCGATAGCGCGCTGTTCGGTGTTCGTGGGCTTTACAATTTCGGACCTGATCCTGCTCCTACGCGCCCTCTGTTTGAAGCTTCGCCTGACTCCACTATTTCTACGGCAAATGAGGCAGCGGCATTTACCACAGCCCAAACTCCCAGCCAACCGCATGGCCGTTTCTCAGCAGGCGGTGAGATCTACTACGGCTTGCTCAACAAGTCAGGTGGTATATCAACTGGCTTGCGTTTTGCTACCCTACCATCTCACACTGGCTTCCCGTATACGATGACCCTGACGCTGAATCCACTCATGGGTAACCTGAGTAGCACTTACTCTGTGCTTGCCTCTCCATTACTTGCGCTGAGTTCTCGATTTGACTTCAACGTATACTCGTATGAAAGTGAACTGCAGGTTGGCACAGAACTATGGCGGCGGAAAGAGAAGCCATTAATAGAAGATCTCAACTGGGCGCGGCTGAAAATGGGCCAGAAGGTTCTTAATGATCCATCCAAGGATTTAGACAATCCGAATGGCATGGCAGGATGTTTCAAGGCGCGTGTTGATCAACGGGGCGGCTTAGGACTGCTCTGGGAGGGAAGAGTGAAAGAGCTACTCTACAGTTGCGGTGCCACGATCGATCTTAGGGGTGGAGAGAACATGTTCAGAGGCTTTGGCGTTGAGGTCCAGTATTCGTCATGAATCTGAGGCCATTCCTCATTCGCATCTCACCTTTTGACCGCTTTATGAAAAGAATGGAAGCAGTGACCGTCTGTTGGCTAGGCTTACCAACCTCAAGCGATGTCTTCACCATATATTGGAACACGGGAGAGCGAATGCCACCAATTACCGCTCTCCACTGAGGAAGACATCACTCGCTTGGAATATGCTGCTCTATCTGGCTGATTGATCTCGATTCCAGCACGAGCCGGAGTCGGACTTTTCTGAGGATTTCTGCACCTGTGGTCAATCATTTCAATAAACACGCCAGGTGCCAGAACAAGTGGCAACCGAAGCATTATAAACCCTAAAAATGTCGACCACTGCAAGATCAACGAGAAGACTTTTCCGTCATCTTACGCCCTTTCAGAAGCTATCTCAATGATAAACGACTAGTCTTTTCATGTTGAATAACATGGATTCAGCCCCTCAGACCACCTCCATTTTGACAACTTGTATACCAAACTCCACGCCGGCGTCTTTCTCGAAGCAAACCTTGAAATCTTCTCTCGATATCACTATGTCCAGTTCTTGTTTGGAAATCTAACTTTCAGGAACGGTTGGACAGATATGTAATAGTGCCAATCTCGAACCAGGGAAAATAGAGAAACCCAGAGATCGATATACATTGCACCCTCATCCGAAGATCATCGATCATTTGTCCCCTTAAAACGTGATCTCTGCGCTGTTGGCTCTCGTGCTCTTCGCTGTGAACGATGTTAAAAGCTCTCTGTAACCAATTTACTGGTTGACAAAAGACGATTTGTGATCTAGTCCCTTCTGACCATGCTATAGCTGATAATGCGAGCTTGAGTATTTCCAGCAAGCTCAAATACATGTTTATCGTTGCCTCAGGTTCTGAGGATAATGACAAGATCAAGCTTGCATATGCAGGTCATGAATGAGGTAGCACTTGTGGAGGAAGCTATCGAAATTGCTTCGCAAGCAATCATGACGGAGGCACAGGGACTTGATCTGATGATACCGGCAGAAAGCGAGAACGGCTGTCAGACGATGACCCTTCTTCATACTCTTTTCACTCTCGTAAGCTACGCTTGTCCTGGAAACGGCACAACCTTATGGTCAGCCTCCTGTATATCTTGCCTCTCTCTTTCCTGTTTCTCAAAAGTCGGCAGCATATTGTATTCAGTCGGGCGCAGCACTTTGGCAAGATTGACGCGAAACGTCTCGATGGTCTCATAAGGAAAGGAGACCACAGAACAAAAGATTGATGTGCTGTAGACTCACGAAAAAGGAGCGAGATCAGGTTTCCACATTCTACTCCTCAAAGTATCAAGATGTGGCGAACTTCAAACTTCAAGCTCTACAACATTTTCTGTATGCAAACAACTCAATTGTATAGAAACATTTCCGCTATCTTCTCCCCCTATTCCAGGACTACTGCTGTCATCTCCTCTACTTAAAAACAAATATATATCTTGAAACAGTCACGCTGGTGAAACGCAAAAGCGTAAAAGCACAAGTCTCCCCGCATTCACATCCGTGAAGCTCCAAGCATTGACCGCCTTCTTCCTTAGTGTTATCCGTGCTTCGCAGCACGTCACGTGGAGACATATTCACATGCCGAACCTCATCAACCCAACGTCACTCCCAAAACCCTCACCACACCTCAACCATAGCCGTCTTTAGCATCTTCTGAACCGCTCACCATACCTCATCCATCGCCATCTTTCAAAAGCGCCCTCGACGATGGCAATGATTCTGCAATGCGTCAGGAGTGATGGCAGACCATCACCATACTTCTTCAGAGGACCTCCCGGAAAGCTCAACACCTCTGCTTGTTTGACGTTGGACTACAATTATCCCTGCAGCTACCACTGCATCGGTTTGTGCATGCCATGGAAAGCCGGCCATGCCACGGCAGTGGCGCCGATGATTCTGGTGGATAAAGCGAGGCTGTTGGCGGAGGACGTACGTACTCACTCTTACTGCTTTGCTGGAAGGTCCACGTTGGTTCTAACGCTCTTTTCAGCAAGCGGAGTTCGGGGTGCAGCCGTATGCGGACTTGAAGCCAGACGAGAGAGCCCAGTGGTGGCGCCATTACGCCCGTGAGTAGAAGCCTCGTGCCTATTTTGATGATGGGTGCCAATTTCCTGAGCTGATACTCGCCCTCATCCCAGGATTAGCGGCCGTGGGCATGGACCACGACCCCGACGATCCGCAAAATGGGGAAACTCGAGTTAAACTTCGAAAGCTGCGTGGGTTGGCGATCGGAAGGCATGATTGGTGGGCGAGCAAGCGACCGTTGGCACCAGCACCTCCGCCGCCGCCAAATGCAGGCATGCCATCAGCTTGAAAGGCGTACGTGAAGGGATCTATCCAAGGCAACCCATCTACCTAACGGCTCCATCACAGCTGTGCGGCAACAACTGCAACGAAGCCTTTCACGGAAGCCGGTGCCTTTGCAACGCACCTGCAGTCCCTTCATCACCGCGCGCACCACCGTCATCCTGGAAAATCTGCGGATACTCCCATCAATGTCCGGTATCTGCTTTGATTGCTGAAGAAATTGCATGAGTCATTTAAAGCGGGAGCGCCGCAAGGGTTCCCAATGTCTGCAGAGATTTGCAAGACTTGGTAGCATGGAAGGAGGACAGAAAGGAGGAGATCGGGGCGCCATTGCCACTACTCGATCAACCGTGGCGGAGCACTGGCATCCAATCGGGCTGGTTCAACATGGCAAGGGGGACCGAGATGTATTTTTTACTGCATTTCAAAATTCAACTCAATTATACTGGTGATACTGTAGGCAGCGTACCCAAAGTCTTTGAAAAAGCCTACACGATAGGGTGAGAGCCTGGCCTTGAAAATAAATATGCGCTGAGTCCTTGAATCCACTTATAGTGTTAAACACATGTCTTAGTAGAGGCGTTCACTTCGCTTCACACATAATAGTCGACTTCACACATCGGTCGACTTCACATTAGTCGACTTCACACATCGGTTGACTTCACCTTAGTTGATATATATATCGGTTGACTTCACATATCGGTTGACTTCACATATCGGTCGACTTCACATATCGGTCGACTTCACATATCGGTCGACTTCACATATCAGTCGACTTCACAGTCACCGAGGCCTATTTAATCTCATTTCTCGGCGCCGAGCATTCTTCATCGACAACAACAACCACACCTACCTTTTCACCATGTCTGACCAAGACCCAGACCGTTCACCTCGCCGCGTTCTCCCTCCTCAACCTTATCAGCTCCTCGATAGGAATGACGGATTCACGCCATACTATGTGCCACCCGCAGAAGCGAACCGTTTCCCCGGTCATGTCACCCCTTACCTGTCCAACAACCTGAAGCATCCGGCCGAGGAGTTTGCGGGGCCGCGTAACCTATTCCCGGGCAGTGACCCCATCACGGATGCCAGACAGGGGGTATGTTACCCCTCGTCTTTGCCGTTTATATTGTTCACAAGCTGATAAGTGTACGTGTAGGATGGCGAGAGGCCCGGCCAAATGAGCTACGAGCAGGTTGCAGCCCTGAAAGACGTCAAGGATATGACCGTTGTCGAGAGGCATGCACGTGATGTTTGTGGTCCCATCCTTTGATTTTCTCACAATGACTGACTTGCGCATCTTCAAACACAGGCGAAGGAGTTCAGTACTTCCCCGCCCGATGCCCTCTCGCAGGCTCAGAAACAACGCTGGGCTCAACTGTACACAGGTAAGCTCCCCGGGCTCTTCGTTTTTACTGGATTTCATGTTTGTCCTTTTCAGGAATTAGCTGACGGAGAAACCATGAAATAGAGCTTTTTAGAATGAATAAGGAGTCTGAGGATAGGGAGAAAAAGCCGAAGGACAAAAACGAAATTCCAGATCAAGATCCGTACAAGATACGTCCCCGTGCTGAACTGCGCAAGCTCAAGGAGCTGGCAGACTTGGCTGGAGGAAAGCAGGAATGAGCGGACTTGACGAGCTGCATGCAAGAAATTTGAGGAAAGACACAGGCAGAAAGAGGAGCAATGGCATGTGAAAAGAGGACATGCAATACTTAGCTTGCAGATAGAATTGGAATGAAAGAATTGCTCCCTGCCTCATGATGCTTCCGACTGTGCTCTCGGCTATCTTAATCCAGAACATTGTAGGAAACACTGATCGGTCAAGATCATACCTCACCCATCATCCAGCTGTTTACGACATTCTTACGATTTCTTACCCAAAGATTTGTCAAGAGTCCTGGATTCCATCCCTGAAACTTCTTCTCTGCAGCCCCTGTTTCCCCATGAACATCTCCCTACCAGTCTGGCTCACTCGTTTCCATTCCTCCAAAAGCACCATGATCTCAGATCTACTGTCCTCTACAATTGCATCCATCTTGATATCGTTTCGGTCATAGCCAAATGGATCTTCCAACTGCATGCCAATACCATCGATACCGTAGAGTGTAAACATGACAAGTACGACAATAGGCACTGCCCACCAGCTCATGTCCTCGACAAGGGCGAAGGGCAGCACGCAGCCAAAGAGCGCCAAAACTTGTTTCTGATGGATCCTGAGCTTCGATCAGTAGAGAATCCTTAGGGCGAAGATGAAAGGGTTCAGAGCTCACAGGTGAGCAACTGGAATGCTGGTCAATCGTATCGTCTCCATCCGCCCATACGCATCTGTCAATGTATTCAACTGCACCTGCATCTGGCTGGCCTGGGGCCCGTGGAACATGCCCTTGTCAAAGAATTTCTTGATATATTGTTCCACAAAGAATGTCAATTGCAGGGGCAGTCCTACACCTCGGCCATCCAACCCCGTCAGTCCTTGGGGCAGCAGCTCGCTGTATTCTGGTATATGCGTAGCACTACCAGTGTTCACGCTGATGGCTGTGCCTGGTATGATTTCGGCACCCCATTCCGCTCGTAGGTGATTCTTCGTGGCATAGAGTATTGCAACTAAGATGCGGACAACGCGTTCAGTGTCGGCTCGGTCCGCGAGAGTTTGGTTCGTATTGGAAGTGATGGCGCTACAGGCCAGAAAGGAGCGTGTAAGGTTACGGACGGATGTAATGATCACAGTGAGGTAGTTGCGGCCGTCCCAAAAACGGTTGTAGCACGTCTGGTTACGGAAGACCTTCGTGGCTTAGGCTCAATTTACAGATCTCTCAAAAAAGAGGCAATGGGACTTACCAGCATGAGACCAACGACGATTGACAAGCTTGGGATCTGGAACGCTGTTAGCGTGCCGCTGTATGGAGGCATTCCCTGCTTGTGCTGACATACGATGCTTGCTGGAAGGCCTAATCTTCCGTCTAGATGCTGGTCAAGAAAGACGACCAAAGCAGCGAACAAGCCATGCAGGGCCACTGGCAGTATGATGGCACCATGAATGGCGCCCTTAATAAAGCGAAGGGCAAGTGGCCATCTTCAGTATACATCAGCATTCATGTCCCATATGTGTAGCTGGGTGACTGGACCTTCTCGGCTTCTGTCTGGTTGAACGGGCAAAAGGAATGGTAGGTTGCCGCTGATGATGTCTGCCCTCGTCATTTCCATTAATATGATTGACCATAGTGTCCTGTTGTACTCGGATCCAACTTGCTCAGGCTGTTTCTCATCGCCTTTTGTTGAACGGGGCATTACTGAAAGGAACAGTTCTGGATTTGTCGCTGCACAGCCGGTCGACGTTTTCGGCCGTCATTGGTTTGAAAGATGTTGGACTGAGACACGATAGTATGGTATTGTATGGTATTGTATGATATTGATAGGTTGGTAAGAATGACACTGGCCAGTGGGAGGCAGGAGAAAGATGAAAACGGAGTACTATAGGTATCTAATACCGTAATATATCATTCTTATGTCTCCAAGTGAGAAGGAGTCGGAAAGAAATCACCAGAGAGGACGTTTGTTTCAGGATTCTTGGCACTTGTCTCAGTTGTCTTGGCTGTGCCCCGTGCCCTGTGGCCTGTGGCTGTGGCTGTGGCTGTGGCTGTGGCTGTGGCTGAAAGCCGAGGAAGCCATCCGAACTCTATTTCCATCAATCCCTCCTCCTCTCCTCTCCTCTCCTCTCCTCCCCTCCCCTCCCCTCTCCTCTCCTCCCCCTCTCCTCCCCCTCTCCTCTCCTCTCCCTCCCCTCCTCCTTTCTCCCTCCCCGCCTCTATTTGTGCACTATCATAGCAAACATCACATAGCAATGATGGCGTATGCTTGCAATACAGGACGAGCAGTTACTGCACTAAGCCCGAAGCCCGTTCCAATTGGCAGCAATTGGCCCATCACCACATCTCCTCTACAGAGCTTGGTCGTCATGGCTTGCTTCCACGCGTCCCGAACAACGTGTATTTCCGTAAGGTCGGCCACAATCTCGCAGTCTGTCCATGCTTCTGACAACATTGAATTGGCGTCCGTGACCTTCTAAGGCTCGGACATGCCAATTGTGAGGATTCTCCACTCAGCCATGGTGGTCCGCGTTCCAGCGACGATACCAATCAAGGCAATCGGCGTTCGCAACCGATGCAGACGTCTTAACGTTGGTGCCACATAGAATTTGCTTGACAGCAACCTCGACCCTGGACACTACATTAGCTCTTTGATGTCAAAGTCACGATGAAGAAGAGACGTGAAGCTCACTTCTTGCCGTTGATAGTGACTGGAATCTCTGGGCATTCATCGACAACCCCTGGTACATGTCTTGCACTAAGCTCTTTCCGTATGACTGATTTGACCTTCTCCCTGAGCTCGCCTGAGAACTTTGCCCCTCGAGCCAACCTCAGAAAGAGAACAACAGTCTCGTCAGTATCACCTTCTCGTCTCCTGCCAATGCAGAGACCATCTTCGATCTCCGAAAAATGCTTCAAAATAACATTGTAGATCTCCGAGCTGCCGAATCTTACTCCAGCGGGCTTCAGGACGCCATCACTGCGTCCAAGCATGATTAAACCGCCTGTCCGTGGGTTGAATCGAACAAAATCACCGTGATGCCAGACGTTAGGAAACACCTTGAAATAACTCTTCTCATACACCTTTTCGCCATCAGCACCGAAGAACATGACTGGTTGACAAGGGAAAGCTTTAACGCAGACCAGGTCCCCAGGTTCGCCAGAGTTGGTGACATCCTTGCCTTCGAAGTCCCAGGCTTCCACAGCCATTCCGAGGCCTCGTACTTGGATTTCACCTGCAAAGACAGGCGAGATCTGGGAGGGCGCTCCGAAAAGAGAGATGATATCCGTTCCACCTGTTATGCTTCCAAGATTGATGTCTGGGCCGAAAGCCTTGTAGACAAACTCGAAGGTGGAAGGAGCCAGAGGACTTCCTGTGCTGTATATTGCTTTCAAGGTCTTCAGGTTTACTTTTTGATTCGCCATGATACTCTTTTGTTCGAGCAGCGAGAGATACTTTGCACTCGTACCAAAGTGGGTTATGCCAAGCTCTTCGATCAAACGAGGCATGGCGAGGTCACCGCTACCTTTAGGGCCCAACGGTCGAAATGGAGACCCATCGTAGAGAACGAGGGTAGCACCAGTCGCCAGGCCGGATACAAGCCAATGCCACATCATCCACGTACAAGTGGTGAAATAGAATAGACGATCTCCTGGCCGGATATCACATTGGATATCGTGTTCCTTTTTATGTTGGATCAACGTGCCGATCGCACCGTGAACAATGCATTTAGGCTTTCCCGTGGTTCCTGATGAATACAGTATGTACACTGGGTGGTCTGGCTGAAGCTGGGCGAATTCAAGCTTGGCTTCATCTGATGCTGATTGAACAAACTCAGAATGGCTACAAGCTTTCCCATGAGCGACTGAGATGTCTTGAAGATCAATCTCATGACCAGGAATGGTTTCAAACACCACACAAGCCCTCAGTTGAGTTAGTTCTTGGGCAATGTCTTTCAACTTGTCGTGGACCTCATGGACCTTACCATTATACATCACCGCGTTGTCAGCAAACAGCACTACGGGCTGGATCTGCTGGATTCGATCCAGCACCGCATGGGTACCAGTGTCAGGAGAAATAGCGGTCCAAATAGCACCTATGGAAGTCGTAGCAAGCATCGCTAGCAAGGCATTGCAATGATTGGCAACATATGCAGCTACACAGTCTCCTTCCTTGACCCCTAGGTTTCGCAATGCGACTGAGATTTCTCGCACTCGCTCCCGGAGCTCACGCCACGATACGTACCCTCGCGAATTTTCATTAGCCTCGATCACGGCGAAGGAGTTCTCATTCGGATTGCATTTTGGGTAGAGAAGATTCTCGGCAAAGTTCAGTCTGGCATGTTGGAAAAAGGCAGGGCGGGGGAACATGGGAGCGGTTTCGTCGACAGCCTGACTTTTCCATCAACGAAGCCAACAATGGAAAAGAAACCCTTGGAGGTCGATGGGTACCTTAGAAAAGGGCACCGAGGCCTTGATGCCAGTGAAATCCCACACTTCCTCCCAGAATCGATTTATATTTGAGATGGACCATTGGCGTAGTTCCTCGTAGGTTACAAATTGATGGTTGTATTTTGTTTCTATTCTAGTTTTGAAGTCATAAGTGCGTGTTTGTGTTGGACGGCTATGTGTCCAGAGACACTTGGCTTGACAAGCGTCCATCTCAGTGACAGATTGGCGACCGGGTTTATAGTGCATTCAAGAAAAGCTATTTGACAGCTCTGGCCCACAGATTCTACCCGCAAAAGCTATGAATATGGGTAATACGTTCAGAAAGAATAGGGTACTGCAGAGAAGCGAAAGAGGTCTATGACGTTTATCATCATCTACGTCGTTCGGGATCCGGGGTATCAGCCCTACCGAGGAGGATGCCCTATTGCCAAGACAAGGAAAATCACAGCCGGAAGCCGATGGTGCCGGGAAGTAGTGTGCAAGCAATCTCTGCCGTTGGCAATTTGATTTCATTTTTTCCAATCAGCTACGAGTACGGAATACTGGTATCTTGCTGTCTAATCTCCCCCAAGCATGCCTACCGAGCTGAGTAACATAAGCTGCTGACCCTTTTTAATAATTCCTCCATTCCTTCCTCTTCCTTCCTCTCTTGTACTGTACTGTCTCTCTCTCTTTGTTCATAAGCATTCGGGAAGCAGCGGGCATTATTACCATCTCGGTCCTTTCCTTTGAAGCGGCGCCACTCCAAGTACATTCCACTACTCTCTCTAAAGCGGACCGCTACGAATCCATTGCATCAGATCCGACCACTGGTGCAGTGAAGTCAATTCATTATGATGCAAGCAAACGATAGGACGCCTTCTTTCCGAAGTTGATAGGTACAATCATACCGTCGTGTGACCGACAAAATTGAAGACGCACCCAAATTGCCATCGTCCATCGAATTTTGGTTCTCGGTCTTCGGAAAGCTCATCTCTCCTCCGTCTTCCTCCGCGACTTCTTACTCATCTCGCCAGCGACGTGCCTTTTGGCATTGTTCCTACCCTCTCACCTCTACACATTAATCACTCTCCATAAGGAACTGGCTTGCCCGTGCCACCTCTTCTACACGTCTCACTTCCACGTTGTACCTTAATAGATCGATCCCCGGCTGCTTCGCCTCACAACACTGCCCGGACGAGGACGACAGCTTCCAGTTCCCATTGATCAGCCTACGATTTCTCGAAACGCGCTTCCTACCTGGATTGACTCTTCTATCCTAATTGCAGAAGCAACCTACCCAAGTGTCCAGCTCGATAGCGAGCATCATGTCGCGCAGACTCATGAACCCGTTCGCAAGCACCTCCCCGTCCTCGACCACCACAATCACTTACAATGAGAAACACGAGCTTCCCCGGAGAGCATCTTCACCAAGGATAAAGAAATTTCCCAATTTCTTTTCAACCTCGCCAAAGTCGAAGAGCGAGACACAGACGGCTACAGCTGCGCTCCTCGCCGCCGCGCAGCAGCAAGCCTTTGTGAATTCGCCCTCCCAGCAGATCAGCTCTCCATCACTGTCATTACCGACCATATCCTTGTCTACAGCTAGGGCAGATAGTGCGAATATGGACGAACCACCAACGACACTGTTCCAGCCACCTTCTCCGGCAGAAGTGCGCAGAATAGCGAGGCAGCATGCGCAGTTCGGTCCGCTGGGTCACCACACACATAGATATACCAGCCGCCACCATGGCGGAGACTTTCCAGAACCGGTCATGGACGAGCCTCCATACTACTACTTGCTTACAACGTACATTAGTTACTTAATCCTAATCATATTTGGTCACATTCGAGATTTCTTCGGCAAGAGATTTCACAAGGATCACTACCGGCATTTGCAAGCCATTGATGGCTACGCAGCATTGAACAACGGCTTCGATGACTTCTACGTCAGGCGGTTGAAGATGCGAATAAATGACTGCTTTGCAAGGCCAGTCACTGGAGTGCCTGGCAGGTACATCACACTTATCGATCGACAGTCCGACGACCACAATCTCCACTTCAAGCATACCGGGACAACGACGGAGACATTGAACATGAGCTCGTACAATTACCTCGGCTTTGCCCAATCAGAAGGACCTTGCGCCGATCAAGTCGAAGAGAATGTGAAGAGGTATGGTTTGAGCCTTGCAAGTACGCGTGCAGATGTTGGTACTTCAGATCTCCATGTCGAAGTGGAAGACCTGATTGCGCGATTCGTTGGGAAACCATCCGCGATGGTCTTTTCCATGGGTTTTGGGACAAACGCAACTGCTTTCCCTGCTCTCATTGGCAAGGGCTGCCTGGTCATTTCTGATGAGCTTAACCATGCATCAATACGCTTTGGTGCTCGTCTATCCGGAGCGACAATCACGATGTTCAAGCATAACGACATGAAAGATCTGGAGAGGCTTCTGAGGGAGGTTATATCCCAGGGCCAGCCACGGACACACAGGCCGTGGAAGAGGATTCTTGTCGTAGTGGAGGGCCTTTATTCTATGGAGGGCACAATGTGCAATCTACCTGGCTTGATCTCGTTAAAAAAGAAATACAAGTTCAATCTCTTTGTTGATGAGGCACACTCGATTGGAGCGCTCGGTCCGAAGGGCAGAGGCGTTTGCGACTACTTCGGTATCGATCCCTCCGAAGTCGACATCTTGATGGGCACCCTCACGAAATCCTTTGGCGCCAATGGAGGATACGTCGCGGGCGACAAAGCTATCATTGACAAGCTCAGACTCACCAATGCTGGATCAGTCTATAATGAATCTCCAGCGCCTGCTGTGCTAGCTCAAATATCTGCTGCCCTAAGGATCATCAGTGGCGAATTTGTTCCAGGTCAGGGCGAGGAACGTCTTCAGCGATTGGCGTTCAATTCACGGTATCTCCGACTTGGGTTGAAACGCCTTGGGTTCATCGTTTCTGGTCACGACGACTCTCCGATCATACCTGTCCTCCTCTACAATCCTGCCAAGATGCCAGCTTTCTCACATGAGATGCTCAAGCGCAAGATTTCGGTTGTGGTTGTCGGCTACCCAGCTACGCCGCTCGTTGCATCGAGAGCCAGATTTTGTGTGTCTGCTGCACACACAAAAGATGATCTGGACAGACTGCTTGAAGCCTGCGACGAGATCGGTAACGTTCTGCAGATCAAGTTCTCGTCTGGGATTGCTGGTGGTGCTGAGCCACTTCCGGAAGGAATCACACCAGAGATGGAGAAGGAGTGGAGGCGGACCGAAAAGGGTGGGCCACACGGCGAACTGGTCTACCAGCCGCCACGATGGAAATTGGACGAGGTGCTGAAGAGGGGCGTGCAAGATGTCAAGAGCCCGCTGAGGTGATCTTCAGCTCTTGCTCCTTGTCCGCACCAAACTCGCCTCCAGTTTGCGTAGCTCTTCTTTTCGGCACAAACATGGCGTCGACTATGCGTCCAACCTTTGATCACCTCTACCTTGAATTGGCGTGTGACCCATACGATCGTTGCTCCTTAGCAATCAATGGCGTTGCGTCCAGGCGCTCTACATTGGCATGGCCTTTGTTTGTTGGAGTTCGGCATCTAGAAGCCGAGAGTATGACGGAGGACTTCTTCTGTCTTTGCATTTCATACCTCTCTGGCTCGTTGCTGTCCACGCGGAGCCAGGGGTTTACCTCCACGAGCGACAGCTCTTCACGCATTCGCCACGGAGCTGGCTTCTATTGCGATTGTGATACAGGATGGGTCGGGCCTTTGGCTTTTGTAGAGTGGAGATCGAGAGTGTTTTCAGGGACTGGCTGTAATAGAATAGAGAATGGGTATCAATCATTATAGATAGCAATTGAACCCCTGTCAACATCACCTAAACGTCGTTGGTCCCTGGTTCTTTGCCTTCACATACGCATTGCATAGAGTATGAGTTGGTAGGCTGTCAGACCGTTAATTTATCACATCCATTAAATCTGCTGATACCTGAAGTCAGCCCTATGATCCTATCTCCGACACACTCCATGAGGCTGTAGGCATCGTCTCCCCCTTGCATTGCTGGCGTTGGGTATTCGACATGCTCATCCTCCTTTCTTCCCAAGCCAATTTCTCTGCGGCTTCCCTTGTTATGTCTTGACCTTTCGAGTGGTAGATGTGAAGCTTACCACCCTCCAAAGATGGCCTCTACACGAAAACCGTCACCCGTTTCTAAGCTACGGATATCCTCCTTCATCAAGGCCATTTCTATCCTTGGCATCATCATCGTCATATTCGGTTACATCTACTGGGGTCACCTTGCGCGCATAAATACCGCTTTCGACTACCAGAAACTGCCCCCTTCTACAGAACTCCAAACCGACAATCCTTCAAGCCAGGAATGGACACACAAGATATGGCAGACGAGCAAATACCCAGTCGCCGCAATGAGTGAGGAGGACCGGACCCACTTCCAGACATGGACAGATTTGAACCCTGATTGGGGACATGAAGTGCTGACGGATGAGGTAATGGAGAGCTATGTCCGAGATCATTTCCATGAAACGCAGCCTGAGATGGAGGAACTATATTTCGAGGTCAAGGATTACATACTGAGATCGGATTTGATAAGGTACTTTGTAATGCTGGCAGATGGTGGTGTCTACAATGATCTCGACGTGGGCTGCGAAAAGCCTATCAGCACCTGGGTACCCAAACAGTTCGAAGACACCGCTGGGATCTTGCTTGGTGTCGAAGTCGACAACAAGTACGGACCTGACGGGAGGACTTTTACCAACGGAGAGGATCTCTTTGAATTGGTAAATTGGACCATCATGTCAAAGCCTAACCAGCCATTTATGGGGTTCTTGGTCCAGCGTGTGATGGAGAATATCAAGAGTCTAGCAGCTTCGAAGAACCAAGCTATTTCAGAGATGGTTCCTACAATCCCGGACGTTCTCGTTACTACTGGTCCGGCGGCTCTTACAACGGCTTTCTTTGATTATGCTTCAGGTCTGACCGGCAGGAATGTCACATACAAGAACTTCACAAAAATAACCGAGCCACAGATCGTTGGCGAGGTTGTTATCCTTCCAATTCAAGCTTTTGGTGCTGGTCATCAAGTTCAGTGGGCAGGCCTGAAGCAGGATGGCTCTCAGCTGGTCCATCACTATTTTGCGGGATCTTGGAAAGGGGACCATCATGATGGTGGTTGGCAGGATGCGGAACACAAAGCTCTTGAGGAGGCACGAAAGAAGAAAGAAGAGGCGAAGACTGCGGAAAAGGCACCAGACAAGGCTGCTGAAGGTGTGACGACGGAAGAAAACCCGGGTTTGATACCAGAGAATAACCTGTAAGGGTCAAGGAAATGTCGAGAGCAGGCTGGAGGACGTACTGCTGACGGGGATGATAGAACAGTTGAGGAAAAGGTACTCCCACCACAGACAGCAAATACCACAACATCGCCAGGGACTGTAGCACTCTCCAAGCCGCCAGTTGTGGAACAACCAACAAACTCCAACATCACTGAGCTCAAAGTAGCCGTTGACGAGGCGGCTTCAATCCAAAATGGCAGTGCCGCGGTTGCGGACACAGTTGCAGTCATCAACTCAGCCATCGCAGACGCGGCCCCAGCTCCAGCTTACAGCGCAGCGGCAGTGAACAGTCCAACCACTGAAAAGCTAGGGTCGGTATCAAATGGGAATGCTCAGGTTGAGGACATAACAGTAATCAACAAGCCAGCCGAAACAGTCCCAACCCAAGAGGATAACGTAGCGGTTGGAGACACAAAGGCGGTGGCCAAATTGGTCGAGCCTAACCTGTAGCTGACGGGCTAGCAAAAGAAAAGCCTGCAGATACAATAGCCCTAGAGGCTGAAACAAAAGAAAAAGCGACCGGGAAAACAGATGCAGATGCAGAAGCGAAAGCTAGCGCTAAAGCCGCAGCAGACGCCAAAGAAAAGGCTGAGGCTATGAGGTTGATGCAGGAGGCTGGTGAGCCTGAATGGGCTCCACTGGAAGCGGTTGGCGAGAAGAAAGTATCGAATAATTTGGCGGACTACGGGGAAGATTATCCCGTATCGGACGAGTGATTGAAGAAGGAGCATGGCATCTCGGTCCTAGTACTTTATTGAGTTGGAGCTCGAATTGAGCTTGCGGCCTCCCTGGCCGCCAGGTCGCGAGGATTCGAGCAGCGTAATGTTCTCCCAGAAGCAGTCGCTTTGAAAAATACTGGTAGCAGAGAAGGTAAAGCCACTCCTCGTCAACGATACTTGGGATTCTTCTGCATGACTCAGAGAAACAGTGAGCATCGCAGCAAGGCCTGCAGGATGTGGATGGAGGCATGGTGGGATGAAAATGATGAGATGTGAGACGGGCCTTGCGTCTGGCGGACTTGATGCACTACTGGATGAGGCCTCGGTAACCACGAACGCATCGGCGCCCCAATATCTCGCAAGGATAGGTACGAATGTCGTAATAGCCTTCATAATAGATAGGACGTCAGTCCTCGATCTCTGCCGCCATTTGCCATTTGTTCTCGCCTCCTAGTACTGGTCAGCTATTATCGAATAAGTCATGGAAACATCTGGATTGTAGTGGTAAGCAGCAGAACATTTGGGTTGGAGTTAAGAGTTTCATTCCTGGGTTATTGATACAATCCCCACATGCTTGAGAATGCAAGTGCCCGCTTTTTGGAAGCATCCCCAGCCTATGCATGCTTCTTTTCTATCTGTCAACACGCACTCAGTCACTCGTTTGCTTCTTTCTCCTTCCCCTTGCCCTTCTGCTTGCCCTTCAATTTGCTCTTCCCCTTCCCTTTCCCCTTTCCGTTGCCCTCTTCTTCCTCCTCCTCCTCCTCCTCCTCCTCCCCCTCATCTGCAGCATCAGTATCATGGAGCCGTTGTTTCTTCTTCGGTGGCTGGCCTTCGTTGTTCTGATCATCCGCTCCATCGTAATTCTCAACGCCGTCGCCGTTGTTGGAGCCCCAGCTGTCAAGAGCCGCGTCTACGTCCCACCTTGCTCGTGCGAGCTCGATCAAGGCTTCACTAGCGCTCGCACGTGGTCGTGCGAAGTCAAGGAATTGGACAGCGAGCCTTGTGATCGCCGTCCTGTCAGATTCTCTGGAGCGATCTGGCAGATTCTCCCTGTGGTAGTGCAATGCCAGCAGGAGGGTCTCATCGTTGTTCAGCGCGGCACTGATGATGGCATCTTCCACCTGGCGGGTCATGAGTGTCCTGTGGTTTTCTCTACGAGGCGTTTCGTGAGGACCACTGGGAGCAGCCCTGAAAACTGCGGTGGAAGGGCCAGCTCCTCCTAATCCAACAGTAGCGCTCTCGGCCAACCCGCCTGCTGTCGTGAAAGGTGGTCCACCTGCCGCTTGTGGAACCCCTACCGTGGCGGTCACTGCTGGAGGTCCGACCGTCACAGTACGACCAAGAGCCCTCGCAGCCAAAAAAACTACCGCTTGTCTGGCACCTCCCCGGTGACGAAGAGCATCTGGCAGGCCAGTGCCGACGGTATTCACTGATGCCAAGTTGTGGGCCCCTAGATAGGACTTCCACAGAAACAGTGCCTCATCACTCTTGTTCACAGGTTCGAAGCCTATGGTGGCCAGATGCACATTGTCTTCAACACGTTGATCTCTGCTGTAGCTGGTATCATTTAGCACTGCTTGTCACATTCAAGGGCGGTTCTGGTTTTTACCGCGAGAACAGACTGCGGTCGCTTGCGTATTCATTTGCTATAACTCCGCCAAGGCGTCTTCTAGCTACATGCTGGTTGAAGTATAACCAGGTGAGTTCGTGCAACCAAGGTGTCTGGGTGCCTGGGGGCTCCAGGTGACTCCTTATGGCGTCTATTTCGTTGCGGACTGAAGGAGCGGTGTCGCGTTAGTAGATACCACCTAAGTGGGACCCGCGATAAAGGAATTATCCCGTTTAGGGGGAGGTACGGTCAACGACTTACAACTGTGAAGTCTCTGCCAAGTCATCGTAGCTCTCGGGGTCGACCCTCGCGGAGCCTGTGGAATCGGAGCGGGATGGAGGACCACCCGTGGTGGTGCTAATGTTGGTTTTTGTGTACGAGCCATGGTGGAACTCTCTGGTAATATGTAGGTCGGGGTTGTCTTCGAAGACTCTGAGGTAGGTGGAAGTTCGAATCAGAAGAGATGTGCAGAGTGTTGTGATATGTGAAGAAAAAGATGGGGATGTCCAAACTCATGATCCTCGCACAGGTACTAATAAAGGAAGTACTAAGGAAATTACACGATGTCGCTCAAACCCTAAGACAAACTCGCTTAGGAGTATAAACACTGAGCGTCACAAGAACATTGACTCCTTTCCGGCTATGGGCACAGCATCATGCTTGGGACGTGGGAAAATATGAATATGGCCTATGGGAGTACGCAACTTGAATAAATCAATGACCTTTAGGGTCTCGATACGTAAACTAAATTTTCACGTTCTCGAGATCTAGATCTAGCCAACGAGATCCATCGACCACGCAAGCTCGAACACATTCTAAAAGCCTTTGCTCGCTGTTCACGATTGCAAGCTGATCCACAACATCCTTTCTTTGTCTGCCGTGCTGATTCGAATCTCCTCCAGCCCATGCTCAGCTTGTGCCCGATAGTTGTCTGAACCACGGTCATTAGCCCCATCATCGCTACCGCTTTCATCACGGTCTCTCTCTCTCTCTCTCTCGCCCCTGACTCCTATCCCGATCGGGGCCCCCCTAAAAAGGAGGGATAGGTATGCCTTGGGCTTCCGCTTTCATTTCTTTGAGAACGACGTTTGTCTGCCGAGAGGCTAGAAGTGCAGTTAGAAAGTCACGACGATAGGGGAAAACCTACACCACCCAAAGGCAACTCTTGTGAACTAGCCGAGTCAAGGTGCTGCTCCCTTGGCAAGGACAGAGGAGCGTTGAGGCTATGGACTCGAGGGGAGGGAGGAAGGGTACCTGATCCTTTTGGCGCTGTCAAACAAGGAAGAATTGTGATTGAAGCTTGAATGGCCCGCTCAAAGAAAAAAATTCATCGATTCTGGCCTCAGCCGGGCTCGAGAACATCTAGAATCGAGCGACTCCAAAGACGGTATCGAGGTCTTCAGAGTCCACAATGGCCTCGAGGGTAGGAAAACATCCCGGAAAAGGGACATCGTGCCGGGGTTTCCTGGTCGTTACTGCAGTCCAATGTGCTTAGGTTCCATTGAATCAACGCATGAGACAAAGTCTATACAAGCAGTTCTCCAACTTCATAGGTCATCTTTCCTTGATCGCTGTGGTGACCGTGTTCCAAGACACGAGGCCCCTGCATTCACTTCTCCTCGTAGCTCTCAAGGGAGCATCCTGTTGCTAAGCTGTCTGCCAGGAGCGGCCAAGTCCCCTCGAATCCGATGTTGGATGACTCGTAAGATCGTACGAGCATGGGACCGCCTGGAACTTTTGTTATCAATGCACAAGCAGGAGGTTGTTTTTCCTGCCGATTAACAAGGCTAGGAGCCCCAATCGGTCGACCGCATTGCTTGACAGAATGGCCTGTGTGGTCGGAATCTTTGCAAGAACCTCGACTAGTACCCGCATGATGTGAAGATCAATCAGTTTATGAGCAATGATTGGGTTCTTCCTGGGCTACTTCTCGACCCAGGTGGCCTCATCAGCGGTCACATGGCCAAAGGGATAGCAGCTTGGGATCTATGTTTTTAACTGTTGGATCTGATATGACTAGGGTTGTGCGGCAACGGAGCGCTTATATTGGGGAGGACCGCTGCCTGGAGGTGTGTAGTCAGACCACTAAGGATTGCCGGTCCGACGACCGCAAGAATCTGTGCTGGAGGAGCATCATAGGGTCTCGCTGGTGCTAGATACAAAGAAGGTGTCGGTTGTGCTGGGGCAGCCATGTTGCGATTTTGATGGTTAGGTGCGAGTTGTAGGGGTGTTGTGTAAGCAGATGAAGTAGCATTGTGGGAATATTTGTCAAGAGCCAATACCACCGCCAGGCTAGAGAATTTGTGGAGGAACACAATGTCAGACGCACATACCCAGAGAAAGATTAACGTAGGGAAAATCCGGTGAGCGTTGCATGCTTCTTTAGGTCCTGTGCCCTCTAGGCGTAGTCAATGGGAAACAGCCTAGCCAGAACAACATCTGCGCTGCAACAACAAGGGGAGCACTCTAGGGCAATCATTGGTCAAGAGACCTCACGTAAAACAGGGGCTAGTAGTAGATCAGCCAGCGAAGAACAACTTCATTCTTTGAACTATCCTACAAAGAGATTCCCCCCCCCGCGATCTTCCCTCTTACCGCCTCTTGACATAGGGCTCTCCTCCGGCGCTCTGCCACAACTTCCTCAACTGGATCCGGGCGCGACACCGGCTAGAATAGCAAGTGCATCAGCTATACGCCCGAAAAGGGTTCCGATCAAAAGAGAACTCACCGGCTCACCGACGAGTGTTTGCGTATACCCTGCTGGCCGTTGCGAAGGCCGATACGGCTATGATCGAACGACACTACGCAATCCGATCAATACATTAGACTTCAAAACGTTAACAACGAGGGTTATTACACAGCAATTGCTTATCCCAAAAGGCGATATCGGCCACGTTGGTGAGCTCGATTGGGGCTTGTAGTCCAGGAAACAACGCCGGAAAGGGCTGCAGTCCCCTAGCAGATAGGCGCGGAGCGGGAATAGGGCCAGCGATGGGGGCTGGTGCTGGAGCGGGGGCAGCATGGGGGTTAGGCCCCGAGGAAAGGGTTAACGGGTAAGGGTGGGAATGAGGTGGCGGCGGCATATTAATACCAAAAAGGGAAGGGTCGGGATACACAAAATCCCCGTCAGGCGGAGAAGCTGCCATAATGATAATTGTAGGTTTTAAATCGGTGTATCTACCGATGCTAGGACTTCTTCGATCACTTGCGATGGATCGTACCCCTTGAGAACAGCAGACGCCGCTTGAAAATCGCTCCCGTATTGAATGCTTCGTTCGGCTTCGGGCCCAATTATTGTGACGCGATGGGGGTAGATCTTGCGTATAGCAAGTGCAACTAGAGACGGGGACACGTATGATTGACCGTGTATGATAGCAAGATACCTATTGAGGTCAGTATATGAAGGGTATATAACTATGGGAACGCCATACTGGACAAGATTGGTGAGGTGCTGAGTTGCTCTAGGTGATACCCCGCTACCAACCGCTCGATGCAATCGAAGGAATGTGATAATATTTTGCTGATACGCCTTGATTTCGGCCGTGAAGTTGATATCCTCGCTCACTTCGGCTAATTGTCTGATCTCTTGTTGCGTGAAACTGTGCGGCGGTACTATGTCTGATGAGTACTGAGCACTGGATCGATGGATGACGGAAGAAACGGAGGCGTGATCGTCTTCTATCCACTCAGAGGCTTCTTCTAGGTTGGCAAATCCGTCTTCTTGACTATGGTAATGCGATATGAAGATGTGGTCGCGCTAATAATGTTCAGCGCACGCCTGACAGCTGTCAGCTACGAGACCGACCAGATGATGGTTGAGACGAGGCTCTGAACTCGAGGTGACCAGGACAAGAAGAAACGTCTTTGGTGCTGTATGAATAGCGGTATGGGTGAATATGCGTTTGGTGCGCAAGAGCTTAATGGATGGTCAGCTTTCAAGCGTTTGAAAGTGGCTTTCTGGTGGCTTACTTCCAGAGCTTGAATTTGTATATCTTCGCTCGCTAAAGATAGGCCCGTGATCAGGACAACGTTGGCGATACTTCGATCATCTTGTTGCCTCTCATTTTGCTTTGTGCGGATTGGTTGTATCGGACTCGCAGAGCGGTGTTTTGCCGGCCCATAATGCCTTCGCGACGACTAGCGCGGTTTAATCAGTATGTTACTAAGGCAGATCCAACGCAAAAGAATCCACGGATCCATGACCCACATCAGCGGGCCACCCGATACGCCAATTGAATGTATGACATTACAGCCGAAAGATCAAGTGAGAGAGCCGAAGATTTCGAAAAAGAAAGGCAATCCCAAGATCTGAATGCAGTATAGATACGAGGCTGTATGCAAAGCCCACTTATAAGAGCTTCACGGATCAAGAGAAAGAGGGTAAAAGCTTTCAGCCAGACATCCAGCTGAAATACAAGACCTTTCGCTCCTTTCTTGGGGAAATGAGAGTGTGCATCTAAGATCATTAAGAGAACAACACAGGCTTCTCGTTACGTCTCTCGACTGTTCAACACCTCGAACCAGAGCGTCTCCAAAATGCCACATCAGTATAATGCTTTCTTCCTATGAGAGCTGGTGGCCTTGACTTTCTGCAAGTGCATAACGCTGAAAGAGAAAGATCTTTGGAAAAATAGGACGCGGAGAAAGGCGATCAATGTACATTTTTGAGTTCATGCACAAAAGCAGACAAGGATCCAAGAAGACAAAGGCTGAAGATGAGAGGTATTCAACGTTTCAAAACCTACCTGATCTGAATCCATGCTTGTTCCCAGTTCCCCATTGTCTAACCAGTCACTGGGTTTGCTGTCAATAAGGATACCATCCCTGAAGTCCGCCAGGGTGGTTGAATGGTTGCAATGAAGCACAGTATGATATAAGGCAAAGACATTGGAAGCGATCTGTCAGTCTCTTAGCCAATAGAAATGGCTGGGGGAGATACAGTCCCTAGTACAAGCTGAAGTTCCTGCTCCAGTGAGTCCAAGTCATCTTGCTCTGCTGCTACGATACAATGCTGACCAGCCACAAGGCTCAGAAGCATTGCAAGCTCGAGGTCAGTGAGTTCTTGCACTCTCTCAACCAGTCCAGAAGGGTCCGCTGTGTCTGGCATTGCGGAGAACTGTCCGGGGTTGTCTTCTATTGGCTTTGCTCTCATGTACTTGAATATTCTGACCCCGTTCTTTGTCCCCTCTCACACTGAACTGGACCTTTCCTTCAATCATTTGCAATACTATCTGGGCTAGTTATGTCATCAGCGACGTCCAGACACACTTGCTGGTTTGAGGCTCTGCGGAAGCTATTATAGCATGAACGTTCGGATAGGACAGTAGTACTACAACGACGACACCCGCTCCAAACTCCTACCACGTTATTTTTTACCTAGTCACTGCATGTAAAGACCCTACTTTGAGTGTCACGAAACTCAGTATGCTGAGACCGTCTTCTTTCCAGTTTCAGACCAATGTCGAACCCCACTGCTGATTGGGAAAGAGTTGGAGATAGATTCTACCGCAAAATCAAGCTTTACGATGCTGTTTTTGACCAAGATTTGGAACTTGAGAACTATGTGATAGCTGGGGCTCCATGTGCAGGAGCGATCGGTAGCTCTTGATGTGGATGGCGCCTCGAAACCAGAAGCTGATGACTTTCTAGCCTTGTACCGGGACGAAGACAAGCTACATACATACCGAGGATCTCAAGCCTCGAAGACTGGCATTGATATCTATAGCTGCGCAGGGAAACTAATACGTAGAATCAATGTGGGTGATACATACCCGAGTACTAGAGGTCTAAATGTGCAGTGACTGATATATGCAGTGGGACAAAGGCTCAATACGTGGGCTAGGATGGTCAGAAGATGAGAAGCTACTCGTCGTTACAGAGGATGGCATAGTCAGATGCTACTACGATCTGCAAGGCGATTTCACCCAATTCTCTCTTGGCAATGTATGTCCGTCGGAAGCAAACCTCGACTTCAAGGACTGATCAACGAAGCACTAGGGCGCTGAGCAACACGGAGTGAAGGCCTGCCGTTTCTGGTCCACTGGCTTCGTTGCGATCCTTTCGAATAATCGCCTGATAGCCGTGTCACACTATAATGAACCACGGCCCAAGCTTCTTGCCATTCCTCCTGAAGCCACTGTGCATTCGTGGACCGTGATACCCCCGGCTTATACTCTTTCTCGCTCCGTGGAAGTTCTGCTTGCTATTGGTCAGACGATCTACGTGGTCGACTCAAGCGAAGCCGAAGACCGAGTCCTCCCCAATGGACCTTTCAAATATGTCAGTGTGTCTCCGAACGGACTTTACGTGACTCTCTACACAGAAGACGGTAAGGTCTGGGTGATTACCAGCGATTTCCAGAATAAGATTGGGGAATACGAATCAAAAGCAAAGACCATACCGAAAGACGTCCAATGGTGTGGGAATGATTCTGTCTTGCTAGTGTGGGAGGATGAGGTCCACATGATAGGACCGGACGGTGCGCTGTTGAAGTAAGCTTGTGGCAACTTGAAGTACAGTCAGAACTCTAATACTTTGCATTATAGATACTACTATGATGGATGGGTGCATCTGCTGGCAGATATAGACGGTGTCCGTATAATGACTAACGACGTATGCGAATTTCTGCAGAGGGTTCCCAGTAGGTATATCTGCATCCGAGGCCTCGTACATGTCTGACATTCATATAGGCACTACTGAAGATATCTTCAAACTTGGATCGACATCACCAGCTTCCGTGCTCTTGGATGCCGTCGACCAGCTGGACAAAAAGTCACCCAAAGCAGATGAGAACATCCAACTGATACGACCAAATCTGCCCGATGCTGTGGCTGCTTGTGTCTATTCAGCAGGTCAGGAATATAGCACGCATTGGCAAAAGCAGCTCCTCAAAGCTGCCTCATTTGGGAAGTCAGTGCTCGACCTCTATAGTAGCGATGACTTCGTTGACATGTGCGAAAAATTGCGAGTGCTCAACGCTGTGCGAGATTACCGACTTGGCCTGCCACTATCGTTTGAGCAATACGAGCGACTCACTGCTGAGAAGCTCATCCAGCGTCTCATTAACCGCCGAGAATATCTCCTTGCTATTCGGTTATCAGACTATCTCCGCCTTCCCACCAACAAGATCTACGTCCATTGGGCCTCACAGAAAGTAAGGAATTCCACTGCCGACGAAGGCGCTATTTGCGAAACGGTAGTAAAAAAGCTTGCCAACAAGCGAGGAATCTCCTTCGAATACATAGCCCGTGCGGCCTACGATGAAGGCCGTAGTCATCTTGCCACTCAGCTCCTCAACCATGAATCACGGGCAGGCAAACAAGTACCCCTGCTCCTCTCGATGTCTGAAGATGAGCTCGCCCTTGACAAGGCAATCGCATCAGGAGACACCGACCTTGTCTTCTTCGTTCTTCTTCACCTCAAGAAGACCCTTCCCCTGGCCTCCTTCTTCCGCCTTTTGACCAACCGTCCTCTCGCCACCGCCCTCGTCGAATCATCTGCCCGGGACCAAGACCAGTCCCTTCTCAAGGACCTCTACTACCAAGACGACCGCCGCCTCGACGGCGCCAACCTCCTTTTTTCCGAAGCACTCGCTCAAACTGCCCCTCAAACAAAAGTCGACAAGCTCAAGCTTGCAGCGAAACTCATAGCAGACAACACCAAAGACCCAACCACCTCGCTCTACCACAAATCTTTCTCGGAAGCCCAAGCTCTAATTCGTCTGCAAACAACCCTCGATAATGACCTCCACGGCGGGGAGAAAGTCTACACCGGTCTATCACTGAATGCTACCCTTCACCGCCTCATCCTCACCACCCACGCCAAACGTGCTACGAAAGTAGCCTCTGAATTTCGCGTGCCAGACAAGACTCTCGCTTGGATCCGACTACGCGCCCTGGTAGCAAAGCGCGATTGGGCAGAGCTTGAGGAAATCGCCATCAAGAACAAACGATCTAGCATTGGCTGGGAACCCTATTTTAACGAGATTCTCGGAGCCGGCAATACGAAGCTGGCGGGTGGAGTTTTCGTGGCTAAATGTACTGGACTGACTGCGAGAGAGAGGTCGGATATGTGGATCAAGTGTGGGATGATTACGAAGGCTGGAGAGGAGCTGCTCAAGGCAAGGGATGCGGAGGCTTTGGAGGATTTGCGGAGCAGGGCGAGTGGAGGCGGGGTAGGAGAGATTGACAAGATGATTGCGCAGTTGCGACCGAAGCGATGAGTGGAATCGAACGTCTAAACGGAGAAGGTAGAGGGAGAGAAACATGTCACGCGTTATTGACCAAGGAGGACGAGCAAGGAGGACACCATTCGATGCACAGATGCTTTGCGATTATCTACACCTAAGCGCCTTGCTAAAGTTCGAAGCAGCTACAATCAAAACGCAGTCCAGGTATCCTATTGCCTCGACCAATGCCGCTTCATGGGTCAGTATCCACAAGACCTCTCAGACACCCAGCGCAGAAGGTCAATTGACCCTGACCTCCCCCAACGGAGGCCTCTGCCTCCCTATCCCAAATCGCTCATGATCATCAGCCACCTTCCGCTTAAACAATCCCAAGTCCTTCAACAACTCCTCCATCCTCGCCTGCATCTCCACAGCTTCAGTCTCGGCCCTGTCATTGTCATGCGGACTCTCTTCCTCGTGATCTTCCTCTTCCTCTTCCTCTTCCTCGAACTCAGGACTATTCTCCTTGTCCGCTTCCTGATTCTCAAACGTCTGCTGCTTGAGGTCGTCTTGCACAACGCTCTCTGTCTGTGGAGCTGGAGGGGTAACGGCTATAGGGTTTCTCAAGCTCTCCACTGCGAGTTTGAGATGCAACCTCAAGGCCTCATTTTGCTCGACCAGCTGGCGAATCTTGCTTTCCCCTACCAGTCTCTCCTCTTCCATCATGCGTTGCATCCGCTCCACTTTACTCTGATACTCTTCGAGCTTGTCGTCCCTAGCTCCCACACTCTTATCTGCAGCTGAGACTGCTTCTCTGCTTCTGTTCGTTCGCTCACTGGCTGCTTGATTCGCTACAGAGACTTGGACTTGCAATTCACGTATCGTATTCTGCATCTCCAGGATCTGAGCATCTCGCTCCGCTGCTGACACAGAATCTTGATTGACGATGGCACGCGTGCGGATGTGTTTGGCTTGATCCGCATACCGAAGAGTTGACAGAGTCTCATCGTAGTCGGAGGGGGCGATGCAAGCAATCATTGCTGTCTTGCTGTTGCCTCCAAGGCTGTCCTTGAGCAGCCAGGTAAGAATCGAGTCTCTATAAGGCACAACGTCTTTGCTTCGCGTCTTGCCGCCATTGTGCACACGGCCATGGCGAGGATCTGCAAGAGCTGCGATGACACGTCCTAGGGTGGTCAGAGACTTGTTAATATTGCTTCCTTCCCTGAGACGAGCACCAGTGGCTTCTGTCGCCTTCGCCCTCTCGCTTCCTGCCAGGTCAACCAATCGAATACGAGCAAGGCGTTCGGTGGTACTGTCTGTGGATAGGTCGTGATGAATTTGCTTGAGCATGATGGTGAAGACGGCATGAGAGCGGGAAGATGTATCATTCATTTTGGTGGATGCTGTAGTCCGACTGGCGTCGCCGAGACGCATGTAGCGGAGGAGCTCCGTGTAATTCTTGACAGGAAGATCGGTCAAGTCCTTAACGTACGGTCCTTCCGTTGGGGACTCGCGAATCTTGAGATAGTAAGGGTGCTTTTCTGACGATTGGCTGGGAGGGGCCAGGAGATCGCGAACATGCTCATTGTAGACTTCGAAGTAAGAGACGCGTACGGTGTATGAGATGTGAGGAGAGACGCTAGATTCAATGCGCTGGAAGAGATCCTCGCAGGTCCGAGGGATGAGTCCTGGTTGGGTTGGAGTACCCATCATTGTGTATGATTTGCCTGAGCCTGTCTGGCCGTAGGCGAAGATGCATGTATGGTAGCCTTCGAAGTTGTGGTCCAGGAACTCTTCTCCGAGCGCATTGTAGATGTCCTCTTGATGCGCATAGTGCTCGTCTTCTGGTTCGTGCGACCAAAAGGAATTGTCGAAGATAAAATTCTTCTCCTCCACTATCTTCCTGCTTTGGGTGCGCGCATTGGCAGCGTCGGTAGTATTGGGTATGAGTAGCTTGGTTCCTTGGGTATCTGGGTTCATCTCCACGAGACATTCTGCTCCCCGGTCAATCTCTGGACACTGTCAGCAACAACCTTTTCCTTAGGAGAGAAGAGTCTACCTCGAGGCAAAAAGCCTCTCACTCGGACAACCACCCTTACATTTCCTCCTCCATTGTCTGGTGTTGCTCTGCCCATTGGAACGAGCTCGGAATCTCTTGAGCGCAGGGAAGGTGTTGAAGCTGAGGATTTGAGCTGGCGGACCTCAGAAGCAACACCGGGGAAACCACGAGGATCCAGCGCCATATCTTGCAGCTGACTTAGGATGTCGCTGAAGATTGAAAGGTAGCGCAATCGCTGCAGTGCGTACATTCAAAGCTCGGTCCGTCATTCAGTAAACACAGGGATGATCGGCGGCAGGGATAATGTCGCTACGCGAACCGCGACCATCGAAGACGTATTCGAACTTTCTTCTCTTTTCACTATTGACACTTTTCAGTGATCTCGTCGCAGTGGGATGACTGTTTCGCAGCGGTTGTTGAGTCGATCTTCACTGTTTCCAGAAATCCAGAGCAAGAAGATTTCTCTAGCCCATTTGGAGTGAGAGGCTGCGAGGCGGGAAGTTGGAAAAGCTCAAACGTCAACAAACAGCCGCAGCGGCGCAGGGTGCTTCCCTGCATCCCCCCAGGAGTATTTACCTACTCCAACCATCTACCGAACGAATTGGTAACTCAATAAGAATGCCTTTTTCTTATTTGAATCGCGTCTGTGGCTTCACTGTAAAAATTGTCTTATTCCGCCGAGGAGATAACTCCGCTCCCTTGAGTCCCTTTCACAATCCTTATTCTAGTCGCTGGGGTCGCTCTTTGAAACTCTAGTACTTTTTTCAGGAACGTCTATAGCAACGGAAGCCGGGGAGTCGTGTATGTGTATGTATCTCTCTAGGCAGTCATTATTGCCGCAACAGAGTGATCTTGTATGCAGACGCGCTGCCACTTGTGACTCGACCAGTGAACTTCCAACTCTTAGCATACGGGTACAATATCGTGTCAGCGTTCTGGACGGATAAGATACAGGACAGACATTAAGTCCCCGCCTTTCCGCAAATTGTACTCATTTAGCCTACAATAATAGTGACATGCAACAGATGGGAGCAGGTAGCAGGTATCTTCTATTGCGATACATCAGTACGGAGAGTTGGATCGAATACAGCAAATGCGTGATAGCTGTGATGGGCAGGGGTACCCCAGGGCGATGACTCGGGTACGTAGACATTGAGGGCGTAGAGGTAACAGATATTGGAAAAGGGAGAGCAAGGGAGAATTGGGCGTCAAGCAAGAATAAGTGGATTATGTGAGACCTCTGTCACACGGAGTTTCGATCTTCTTGCACGTCGGACCAAAGCATAGGAATCGACAGGGCATTCACTGGATGAGACAAAGTGATCGGGTCCTAAAGACCGTTACGGTCCTTGTTTTATCTCAGACCAGAGCTCCCATTGAAAAGGCAATGAGCTCGAATTGCAACACACGCATTTTGTTCGTTCAAGCTTTTAGTACATGATGGGATGTGCTTGTCATGCCTGAAATGCGCCCGCAGAAGATCAGCCATCTCCCAAGCTCCTCTCGCTCGATCGTTGGATCGTAGCCCATGGATTATAGCCCTCCTCATTTGATCCATGATTGCTGAATGCAAACTCCCAATGCCATTTCGAAGATGGCTGGGACAGAGTGAATGATGTAGCAGAGGCTCGAACGCCTCAACCTATTCCAGATGTCGATGATACGCTCGAACGTTCTCTTCGCTACCGAACGATCTTCTCATTCGTGAAGTCCCAGAGCTGGCGTATTAGGCTATCTGGAAGGGTGTAGAGATCCACTTGGAACTCGCCCTCTGCGGAAGCTCGTTAGTCCAGACATATCAACAAGGTATCTAGATGAAACGCTTACGCTCAACATCATTTTTGGTCCAGGTATCTGCAGTCTTGTTGTCGTGGATCATCTGCACCACCAGCAGCAGGTCGTCTTCAGTCATCTTTTGCATGTTCTCGGCCAATTTCTCCATGTCGATCTGCACCCAGAATTATCGGTCAGCGTTGACCTTCACAGAGACCTACACATTGTGAAGCATTTGTTTGAACTAACCCCTTTATCGGGCCTCTTTTTCTTCTTTGCTGACTCGTCGCGTGCCTTGACTCCGTTTGCATCACCTGGAACAGGTCCCGACTCTTTCAGGATAGCGAGAAGGGCGGGCTTTGGGTTCTTGAAAACCTGCACAAGTCGTATTGTGTCAGCTTTGTGTTAAGAGTGAGAGTTGATAGCGTAAGGACCCACGATGGGATGCTTCGTCTCGTAATGCTCGCTCTGAAAATTAAGATCGTGCGCGACGGTGATCTCAGCTCCCTTGTCCTTTGGAGTTAAAACAAGTAGCATGTCAAACTCTCCCCATCCTTCTTCCTGGATACGAAACGGAGGCATCTTGAAGGCTACGCGGAGAACCCGAGTCAGCTCAGGCATTTTACTGAAGAGAGATAAAATGCGCCAGCTTGAGATATTTCTCATGTACTTACTCTGGGTTGCCCGCTGTCCGAATGTTTCGTGAAGTTTGTAGACGACCTTCTCAAAGCAGTCCGCCGGGATATCTTCGCCATGGGGGCCGAGGAGGTGCAACTCAATGTTCCATTTGCGCAATGGCATCTCCAGAGTCGCATCGCCACTGCAAGTACGAAGCCGATGAGTTAGCCAATGAGGAGGAAGTGAGAGCAATTGTTGCTGGCCGTCTTACGTGACTTTCTGCTCCGTGATAATCTTGAGGGTCCGCTTGACCTGTGTTACCCCACTATTAGTCCTGGTCGGGCCATATAAGCGCTAAAGATGAAGTAAGAAAGCGGTGACATCTTACTTCAGGCATAATGGCAGCGCCCACTGGGTTCTGGACGGAGAGATGTGGGAATGTCGAGATCTAGAATGTTGAAAGAAATCAGGTGTGCAGCTCGTAACTACAACAAACGGCGACGATTGAAGCTAATGGACCCCACCGGCTCGTCCCGCGGCGCGTTTCGCGCTTACCCTCGCTAATCGTCAGGGCTAAATAAGGGTCAAGTCAATGCAAAGATCACTGCTTTATTCCGAATACCCATTGAACTAAAGGCTGTCACTTCCATGAATCTCATCAGAAGTCACCACCAATTTTACGAATGGCAGATCACCACGTTGTTTGTGCATTGTCAAAATAGCCCTTATGTCAATATCAGAACGCTAGTAGTGCTACTCAATCGCGAAAATTATAGATTCTTTGAAGTGTCGGCTCACTCTTACCCCAAGATTATGATTCCAACGCGCTCAGACCACCAGCTTATCCCTCATGCCTCGGTGTCCTAAAAACGAGGTCTCCAGCATCTTATCTCTTTGAAAAGTTGCTAATACGATCAATACCCATTTCAGAAACAAGCATATTTGGCGTCATCAAGCCCTTCCTCAACTATCCTGATCACTCGGTCGATATGGTCCATCTTTGCCGTTGACACCTGGGTAAATTAGTCCAATCTATTACAGCAATTTGTCCAGTAGCAGACATTATTCGTCTCGCCATGATTGGCCACTCTTCCAACGCTCACGGCGGTGATCTAATAGACTGCTTCCGCTTCCTCTTCATTTTCATCAAGGTAAACAGTGCAGATGCCGGACCCAAAACGGACTGGAGATTAGGGCCCACAGTCTTTCGAGTGTGGCGAGGTTGGGGGGGTGGCAAACGGTGATATGGGCGACATCTTGGAAAAGTCCGGTATGATGCGGTACATAGTCTCCTGTCTCGGTCAAGGCGGATTGAAAGCAGGAACGGAATGCTCAAGGAGGTTGCCTTGTAGATAGCGAAATTCACTGTGTCTTTTTTGCACTCATCACACCAGGCTTTCTTTCTGTAGGGCACGGTAGAAGCCAGGGGACAAGCTTGAGCGCGTAAGTTGTTTGAAGAAAAAAGATCCCGTAAGACGCAAGAACGGGAATTTCATCATTCATCACTAGGGCGGCTCTTCCGGACCAATACAGACCCAGGTCAAAATGCAAAAGCTTACAGGTGCAGAGTTGTTTGAGTAAACGCAACAGGTCTTGTGGGAGTGGGAATGTGGCTAGGACAAGCTCCGAAGTAGCATAGCGACTCGATCCCGAGATAGAGTCGCTGACAAAACCTATGTCCCAAAGGCCAGTCCAGAGGCTTGTATTTGGCCGGATGGTATGTTACGATCCAGAAACATCATTATCGTAGTAACCATGGCGGTCATCAATCCTATTTGGCGCCTGCAGAGCTTGTCGCCCGTCATCAGAAATGCTCAAGTGCTGTTTCAATCCCTTCTGTCAACCGCTTTTCCTCTCATGACCTTCCTTCTCTGTGCAATCATATGCGTGAAAAGGATATAACTCCCTGACCATTAATTAGCCAATTCCTCTCCCTTCTCCCATGCGAAAATGGTTACCTGGGACGTAGACCCCTAACAGCCCCCAAAACGCCAACTGCAAAGGCCTCTCCGCAACCATGCTTGCCTTCCAAATGAGTATGCACTCGCTAGAAATCCCAATTGGATACAACACATAGAAAGTATTATATCTTGACCACGTTACGAATCCGGGTACGCCGTGTCCCTGCAGGTTCCAGACAAAGTAGCTATAGCGTATGACCTCTGTGACGGACCAGGCGAGCAGCATGAAGCTGTAGAAGGGGGAGGATGCCGTGGGGGAGGGGTAGCGGTTGACGACGGCCCAGATGAGGAGGAGGCGAGAGGAGACTTGCAATATGGTTGTGAGGAGGGGGGAGCGGACGAGGCCTGGCGTGCGATTTCAGTCAGCTTTGACTCTGGAGAACAGCGGAGGATAGAGAGCAAGAAAGGCGGAGAACCTCAAGTGATCATACCTAAGGCCGAATGCAAAACCTCAAGCAACGCAAGGGTCTGCGTCCATTTTGTGAATTCGCCTACGCCACCATGTACATTCCCAAAGCCTACGAGGGGTACCAGAAATATGACACGACCAAGCACAGCTGTCCAGAGTACAGCGCAGACAAGGTTATAGCCGACTAAATACCGCGTTTGGAGTTGACGATTGGGGGTTGAACGGGTGTCCATTGTTCGACAACTGGGATGTCAATTGTCAAACAGCGAAGGCACAGAGAGAAAGCTCGGATACAAGTTAAGGATAAGGGCTGACGGCGGGTAGGCGAAAGGCTTGTGTCTCGACCAGCTCTCTCTGCTGGAACTTGGCAGAAACTGAGATTTTTTCCTCACCGAAAATTCCCCAAACGGAGTTGCACCTAGCCTGATTGGGCAGGGGCGAGCTGCATTGCATGATGCATGATGAGCGCAGTAGCGAAGAAAGTATTTCTAAGGGCACTCATTCACTATCTAGGTACTTAGGTACTGTGCTTTGCAGTTGAAGAATAAGCTTCAGGTACGTTTGGGACAGCATGCTCTCGAAGCTTGCTTTTGAGTAGGTAGTTGGCTCTACTATCTATATGCTCCGCTCTTACTCGCAACCTTTCTTCCAACAATCTTATTATATGCAGCCATTGCAAGTGTCGATATCATCGTCTCTCCTCTTCGAAATTGATGCAGTGCCGGGTATCATGATAGAACCTCTGTAACATCAAACTTGAAGGCCATACGATCTTCGCCCTGAATGCTGGCCCAACGCCTATCGCTGTGCTAATCGCTGACTGGTATAAAACACACAACCTCACGCATGACAATCTCTTCATCACATGTACACCTGAATGACGCTTTTATGATGCCAAACACTCTTGCCACAGTTCTCCACCACGCACTTGGAGAATGGTTTGATACGTTTCGACGTGGCTGAGAGCTGGGATTTCTTGCTGGTGGACCTATTCTTTGCACATTCGCCACAGTAGACCTGAGATTTGAATTAGTTTGAGTAAAGTAGAAGAACGTATCGCACATACATGACCACAGGCTTTGACGACCCAGACCTGTCTCTTCACCTCGTCGTCGCCCAAACCTAATTCATCATCACAATTTGGGCATACGAGCACGTCATCCTCATTCGGTGTTCTGGTGAATCCTTCTTGCGCTGGGGCCGGTGGGTCGTAAGTTGGCAATCGAGATTGTGGTTGACGGCGTGTAGGATGTTCAAGATCGAAGGCTGGGGCAAAGTAGTCTAAGTGTGCAGGAAGCTCAAAGTTGCCGCCCGGGAAATTCTCCCATTCTACCAATTCGTCTTCATGTGTACGGGGCGTGTTTGTATTGACTCGGGCCGCGAATGGGTGGAATAACCAGCCTGCATTCTGGTGGCCATGAGCTTCTACCGGTGCACCTGTAATGCGTAACGAGACCTGCGGACGACGCACGGGTGACCTTGCAGCTGGGGTATGCCTTCGCTGTCTGAGGGTAGACTGATGCCTTGGATGTCTTGTGGTGCTGAGCGAGCGAGAGCGCGGCCGTGACGTAAGGAACTGAATTTCTGGGCTTTCTTCTCTCAAGTCCACCGCTTCGTCTTCCTGGTCATCGATGCTGATGATGTCTCGATCAAAGCGTGGTGGCCGTTGAGCACCTCTTTGGCCTTCTGAGTGTGTGAACGTGGGTGGAACGATTTGGGCTGCTACTGGGCTGCTTCCGTCTTCCGTAAGATCGATGACTTGTTGTGCTGACTGAGACATGATGGGTCTTCTTAAGTCTACACTGCGTCTGAAGGATGGGATGTTGAAATTGAAGAACGAGTTTGATGAAGACTGGGGGTGTTGGCTTGGAGATTCAGGTAACAGATGAGAGTTGCAGGGTATATGTCTGGTTTCACTTGACATTTGTTCGTGGGTCCTCTACACCATCGACGCGAAGTGAGTAACATGGCAGATATTTGGGAGTATTGATCCAAGAGGTGTTGGGTCTATGAGGAAGGAGGCTTACCTTTCGGTTCTGATGAGGGCACAATAACGACGCCACGGATGCCATGATCTGGTCATGGGCTTGAGAGGCAGATGCTGGCAAATAAGTGGAGTAGAGGCAAGCAGCTCGAAGAATGGTGAACGGTGAGCCACTTCACGAAAATAGTGTGAAGGTGGAAGTGGGAGGAAGCTGGGCGGCGAAAGGCCCATTCGAGGTCTCGGCTATTTTTGATCCTCCGGGTTTCTTAGCTCCGTCTTGGTTCAGGATTCAGGAACACTGAGTTAAGGTACCTTAGGCATGAGTATTTGGCGCGTCACTTGCAGTGCATAATAGAATATGTTAGATAATGGATGTTTCGCAAATACAAATAAAGGGTGCTCATGGGAGGGTCAAGAGAACACAATAATGATGGCATGCAGTTCCTTTGTCAATGCACCCTCGAGCATGCCCAGTTCTTAGAAGTCAAAGCTTTTATCACTCATTTCCTGCTATCCTGCAGAGGATGATACATGTTAATATACAGAAGACAAACGCCAACGCTTGTTCAAAGATTCGCCCTCCTTCATGCTGACCCGAGAACTGTGATAGCACCCTCCCCATCCAACGACACCAAACTCTGGGCGCTTGATCCCCAATCAACGGACACTGCTGGCACCGCACTCCTAAGTGGCTCCGACCACTCTTTTGAGGATTTGGAGTACTGTTGAACCGCTACTCCAGTCGGTCCTGCTGTTGCCAGGTATTGACCAGTGTAGTCCCATCGTACGCTCGTTACTTGACCACCAGTCTCGAGAACCTTGATCTGAGATGCCTTGCGAAGGTCCCAGATTGAGACACTCGTCGAGCCTTTCACAGCAGCTGCAACCCAGATGCCATTCTCGGAAAATTCTACTGCTTTGAGGGGACCCGTTGCATCAAAATTCGCTGCGTTGGCGCCACTCTTCATCTCGTACAGCTTAATTTGGCCATCAGCGCCTCCCGCAGCAAAGAGGTGGCCATCGGGATGGAATTGGGCAGTATTTAGAGCTATTGAATTGTTAGTATATCTGATTGTGCATCGCAAACTATGTCTTCTCTCACCAGAATCTGTGAATATCTGAAGAGCTTGTGCAGAAGACGCGAGGTCGTAGAAGATGTAACTTTTGTCCACGCCCACTGAAGCCAGTATGTCTCCGCTTGGATGGAGCGCCAGAGCTGTCACTGCACCAGCATGGCCGGAAAAGCTTGAGACCTCGACGCCATTCTCGAAAACTTTGACTATCCCGGATGATGTCCCAACGATAGCCTTAGATCCAGCCCACAAGGCTTCTGTGACAGGACTGCCCACGGGGAGCTCTTGGACCAAGTTGTTCTGGGATATGGAGAAGATCCCAGCGGTCCCATCACTACCACCAACCAGAGCCAGATCGCCGCTTGCGTCTACTGAGATCGCCCGAGCACCAGTATAAAGAGGTTTCGACTTTTGCGTCGGCGTGAAATTTGAAATCACATCAGTAGTTGCCCAGTCTTCGGGTACGGCACGTTTTCGTCGAGTCTTCGACAGCCTGAGTACGGTATCAGTAGATGCCGTCACACATATCTGCGTCTAGAAACAGGAGATGGTCACGTACTTCTCTTGCACAGCCTCAACCTTCGCGACAAGATTTCCTGGGAGCTCTTGGCCATCAACCTCCATGGTGTCTCCATTGCTAGCTGGCGCACCATTGACGTTGATCCGTGACAGCGCTTGTCGAGCCTCGTCTCTTTCCCTAGACAGTCTGGTAATCACCCTTACTGCTGCATCGTGCTCATACAATGCCCTGCTCAGCTCTTGCCGTGTCTGTGTCAAATGCTGCCGCAGAGTATGTGTTTCCAATGCAAGTGCATCCCATTCATTTTGAAAAACAGACAGCAATGACGGTATTGAAGTAAGGGTAGGAGGGCGTGGGCGAACCGTGCGGGATGCTTTGAGCTCTACCAGGTCATCCGTCGAGAGATCCTCGTTTGTTACCGGGTCCTTGCCATGTTCTGAAATGTAAGCTTCGATGAGACGTTTCTCAAAGACGTTTCCTATTCACGTCAGCTTGATCAAAACTTGCTGAAGTCTTCAACGCTTACCACTTTTTGCCGAAGCTACGGGGACTTGAGGAGCTTCGCCAGATACTGTAGCAACTTAGCTTTTGGGAAGGGGATACGGCTTCATCCCAGATACTTACTGGCACACAACATTGTGTTCGAGTTTCAGGGTGATTGTTCGAAGAAGGTGCAGTGGGAATTGTTTTGTCGCGCAAGAGCTCATGCTTGTGATTTTCAATGGTTTTGCTTGGCATTCCGAGAACGCCAAGACCTCTGGCAATGGTGAAAGGAGTCGTCACACATCTACCGTAGCTATATGGATCTCTAGAAACATTGAATCACATCTCTATCGCATACACTTCAACATTACACTTGGCTATTGCATATTTTGCCACGAAGATTTTTCAATGGCGCTGTTGTGATTTCGGGATGTATTCAAAGTCACGGAAAAGGGGCAAACGTTCTCCATGTTAAGGCTCTGTACCTTCATCATCAAATGACAACTTCATCTTCTTCCCTTTCTTAACTCTAGATGTTTTACTGTTCTTTCCAGGAACACAGTCTTCGGAGGCTGCTTTGTCTTCTCCTTCATCGCCAACAACCTTCGCCAGCCTCCGCTTAGTTGAACCTCCAATACCTGCGACTGCCTGCTTCACTGGAGCCGCTTCTCCAGCGACCTCACCTTTTCTAGGTTCAGCTTCCTCAATAACATGGCCGGCTTTTGCAGATAAAGGCACATTATTCTCGTCCTTGTTGGCGGTGTCGGCGGCTACCAAGGCTTCATACTCGGCTTTCGACAAAGTGTCCTGGCTGTCCTCCACAACGTAGGTAGGCTGATCGTCGTCCTCTCCTTCCTGTACCTGTTTTCTTGGCCTGGCTACTGGCCGCTCGTGGCGAGATGAGTCACGGTCCCCATAGTCGCCCCTGAGCTTGCGAAGGAATGCTGGCTCATTCGATGCTACGTCTCAATTAGACAACCTTTGGACCCAAATCAGGAGACACGACATGTACCGTAGCTAAGGTTCTTTGCATTGAAGCTCATCGTAGAAGACTGATGTGATATGATTGGTATTGAGACCAGACAGAGGACGAGCGCAGAATCATCGAACAACACTAAACAGTGTACAGCAAAGAAAATTATGCTCAAGTGGCGTTGTTGGTAGAGATTAACGGCTCTCAAACTCGATCAATGCTCTCAAATAACGCGCATAACGTTCTATGGGGTAGGGTTTGATGGATGGTACGTCTATATCAGTACTTTGGAGCCACGCATTCCAGACCACATGGGAGCAGGCTGACCAGAATTATCATCACCCCTACGGCATCAACTTTCGATGCCTGTGTAAATAGATAGTTGAACCCGCGAAGGCTTGTTGCCGCGTAAAGATGCTTTGATCACTTCATTGTCGATCTCGGTATCGGCAGCCGTGGCGTTGACAAATTTGCCCCGCCAAGACCCAGTCCTTGGCAAACTAACCCTAACAGATAAGGTGGAAAAGCTTCTCCCGACGGACTGGAAGACCTCTATTCGCGTGGTATTATTGATTGAAGTGTTCACTCTCTCCCTTGCACGTAAACTGTGGCATCTTCGACAGACTCTCTTGTTGTGCTTCAGTCTCCTGCTGGAAATACTTCTTGTCCTCGTGCCAGACGACACCCGGCCGTTGAAGTGGCGGCGGACCCTCCGTGAGATTGATATCCAACCTCCTATCACATTGCCTCCCCAAACAACGTCTCTTCAAGGAATGACTACCTGTCGAAAAGTGTTTGCACAACACATGACGATATTACGAAGCACCAAGCGACATTCCCGAGCCTGACTGGCTTTTCGACCACCATCTCAGCCAAACGTGGGACATAACCCCCAGCCGCTCGTTACCCTTTTCGTACAGTACCTTTGGCAGTCCAATCCTTTTTCCAGGGACGTCTTCGCTTCTATGTACCTCAACACGGACCGAAACACCTTCCTGCGCTAATTAATTTCAATCACCCGGTGACTGGCTGTTCTGGGGGTTCGCTCTTTTTCTCGCCTGAAGCCTCAGAGCAAGCCGCGGAGGGGTTGTCGCAGCCATGGGGTTTGTCAGAAGCCTCATCAAGCGGATACCTTCCACTCCGGCCCTACCATCCCTCGAAGATCTGAGCAATGAGAAAGACCGATTCGCACCTAGATTATCCTTCTTCAAAAGACGCATACGGCTGAAAGGCAACTCAAAGATTTCTGTTCCGCTGGGCGCTGTATTACTATTTCCCTGTATCGTTATAATCCTAATAGTTGTCCTCATCGTTCGGCATCCCTCTTCGCCTGGGGGACTGATGATGCCCGCTGGGGCTCCACCAGCTATTCGGTAGGCCTCAGGTTGTCTGTCTACAGGCTTCAATGGAAAGACTAACCTTAACGCAGGAAGATAAGTGAGCAGTACGACAAAGTGTTTGTTACCGGCTGCCTCGAGCCTCAGACAAACGGACCACGAGCCAACGCAGTATTAGTGATTCTGGCGAGGAATCAGGAGTTGGAAGGTGTGGTCCAATCAATAAAGTCAATGGAGAGACATTTCAATCGGTGGTTCCATTACCCCTATGTGTTTCTCAACGACGGAGACTTCAACACTACATTCAAGGAGACAATCCTGAACCACACAAGTGCTCCTGTCGAGTTTGGGAAGATAGATCCGACTATGTGGGGGTATCCAGACTGGGTGAATATTGATACGGCAAGAGAAGGGATCAGGAAGCAAGGAGATGCCGCCATCATGTATGGTGGCATGGAGAGCTATCATCACATGTGCAGGTTCTATTCAGGGTTTGTATTGAATGGTGCTCGTACCCTTTCACCCCGCTTACCCGTTCTCTAGCTTTTTCTACAAGCATGAGCTCCTACAAAAGTACGACTGGTACTGGCGAATTGAGCCAGAAATCAAGTACTTTTGCGATATTACATAGTGAGTCGTTCGGCTGAAGTTGACGAACGTTGGTAAGTGCTAACAGGTTTTAGCGACCCATTCATACACATGGAACGTGCGAACAAGACCTACGGCTTTACCATTGCGGTCAAAGAACTGAAAGAGACTGTTCCAAACATCTTCCGGTACGCATCGGCGTATAAGCGCGTCAACAATTTGACGTCCCAGGGACTGTGGGAGATGTTCGCAGAGCCTGGGTCCGCGGCGGAGGATATTTCATTGCCTGAAGACAACCCCAAATATAAGAAACCGTTGCCCGAAGAAATACTCAGCTCTGAGCCCGGACAAGGAGGAGTGCCAGATGTCGACCCAGAAGCTATGGAGGGGGAGACGTACAACATGTGCCATTTCTGGAGCAACTTTGAGATAGCGAGGTTAGACTGGTTCAGAAGCAAGGAATACAATGATTTCTTCGACATGATGGATCGAAGTGGAGGTTTCTGGATGGAAAGGGTAGGTTGTGATGCCACTTGATGTAAGAATGATTCCACTGACCCAATTATCAGTGGGGGGATGCACCGATTCATTCCCTCGCAGCCGGCGCTCTACTGGCTCCCCAGAATATACATTACTTCCGAGACATTGGATACCGGCACACAACAATACAACATTGCCCAGCAAATGCCCCTGGCAACCGGCAGCTCGCTAGACCTCCATTCCTCGAGGTGACCACCAAGGATGAAAAGAAGAGGAAAGAAGAAGACGAGTACTGGGAGACGTGGGATCCGGTAAAAGAGAATGGAGTGGGATGCAGGTGCAAGTGCGATACTGACATCGTCGACGTCGAGGGGAAGCAGGGAAGTTGTCTGGATGAATGGGTAAATGTAGCAGGGGGGTGGGCATCTGCTTAGAACGAGGCCTGGCTTTGGCTCCAGACCATCTCCATCTATACCAGGGCATTCTCAATCAGCGTTTTTGCCATTACATTCTGCATCGGGAGGCGTTACTCGGCGCTCGTGCTTACCTCCAAGGGGTGTAGTCCAATAATCAGCTGGGGGGGGGGAGCCAGGGAGGCTTCACTGAGCTCCCTGTACAGCATACCATTTCAGCATGTCGCAACGAAAAGATGAGCTTCTCCCAAGATGTGACCATAATGGTTGGTATGTATTGATTCTATACCAGTCTCTATGTTTACAGAACCCACTCAATACTGTTATTTGATTTTTTTCGAATATGACAGTCCAAGTAATTTCTGAGGGTGTTTTCAAAGTTTCCAGAGCTCGAAGTAGTGGTGGTCAGTAGGTATCCAGGGGGAACAGGCATCCTTTCGAGCTGGCTATCTAGCGGCCAAGACAGGGGACTGGCCAGCTCAAGGGATAATAGAATGGCGAATGGCATCCTCAAAATCGAGATAGCTGTTTCAATAGTAGTATCAAGTTCACAGCACAGCATAGAGTAGTTTTGGAGATGAAAGTACATGTACCTTACATGTACTCTACTGCCTACGATAAGAGGCTTCTTATCCCCACTAGTGCGGGGTTGTTTGAGGAAGGCAGCAAGGGCATCTGCTGATCCAACCCCTCCTCCATCATCATCATCGTAACACGAATCCCATCAACCAACTCCGCCAAACAAGTTACTTGATGGTCAGCATCCATTGCCTCGCCTCCACCTCTCGTCCAGCTGTATTACAGTATCCCTTCACTCGTGCTCTCCCTATCATCGGCGTACCTGCAGGTCCAGTCCCCGTGATCGCCCCAGAGAGCTTAAGAGTCATAAGGCTGCCTTGGCTGTTAACACCGAAGCCTGTCTTCCATACTTTGGGTAAGTACCATTTGCCTATCCTCGAAAAAATTGGACTCATATTCCCTCTTCCTATGACATCCACCTATATCACCTACCACACCTTCCAAAACACCTATCATACTTCCTTGCTGTCTCGCATGGTCTCGCTGACCCCATGCAGCGGATTGAGGAAGACAAGCCTCATCCCCACATCGAATCTTCAGTCACCCTCAAATTCCCTACAATATTCGTACATGGTACGCCTGCCAGCTGGCTGTCCCAGTCTCAGCTCGTCACCATGACTTCCCAGCATGACGACAATTCATGTGACGATACATCGAGCTCTCTCGGAGACAGCTCCTACGACTTTGTAGACGATAGAAGTATTGCGACAACCGATGATGAAGACCAAGATGCAATGACCGAATCCATCACCTCGAGTGATGGGCATGAATTCGACCAACCAGACATTCATCAGCTACAGGGCAGATCAGGTGATTCAGGAGGTCAGACCTCTCACAGCCAGGGCTCCGAATACTGCAGCGGCCAAGAGATCCACTCGGAGTCCAACCCTCCTTCCTCTGGACGAGAACCAGATCTGCAGGCTACGACCGATCAAGTCCCTCTGAACAAGCTGCACGATCAACACGAGGCTATCGAATTCGTCGAGCCGAGCGTTACCAATTTGAATTTCTCGAGGCCCGTCGAGGTATCACACACGTTAAAGATAATAGACGGCCAGAATGCTACTGTCAGCAATTTCTATCTCAACATGCTAGAGCGCCGCTCTGGAAAGGTGGCCGTCACCGTTAGGCAGACGATGGCGAGCCATGGTCTTCAACTTCGGGGCAGGCCGTATAAGATCCTATACGTGGGGGACTCCTCCGTGAGAGATATCATTGTACAGAAAATTGCTACGGCCTTGGCAGCTTCGCTGAACAACAGCTCTTCCCCAAACTTCGAAAAGCCTCGACCTTCCAGATTTAATGTTGTTCCAATCTCTGCATTCGGGGAGGAAGCTTCTCCAGAAGTCGTCCTTATCGACTCGTCAGGTCTTGAGATGAGCGTTGACGAGTGCAGCTTCGCTTCTTTCGCAAGAAACGAAGGTGGGAACGACACCATTCAAATGCAATTGTCTGACGGAAGTCAAGTGGTTTCCTCTTGGTCTGTTTCGAAATTCGTCATTTCGAATGATTGGAGGACTCCTGACATAGCGGTATTTTGTTCGTCCGAAAGGGATAGCGTTGCTGTAAAGCAGACTCGCCGCATTGCTCGATCTTTCATGAGCCGTCATGCGGTACAAACAATCGTCATCACAGCGGCCTCGCACTGGGACTGTCATGCAGACGCTATCACGTTGGATTATCTGACTCCACACATTCATTTGGAGTCTCTTGAACCTATGGGCCTGAATCGTACTCAGACCGTCCAACGCCTGCCGATTGATCTTGCGACATTCCTGAGTATCGATGCAGGCCAGATGAATAGAAACCTCGCTTGTCTGGATGCTGCTCGCGGATCCTCCAAAGGCTGCGTGCCTTCGAAGGTCGCGAAGTCCAGAGGAACCTCGCACGACCGCCTCTCGTTCCAAGAGATCTATGATGCATTTGTCACCGATATTCGAAAAGATGGGTTGAAAGGTCTAAACCGGTATGAGTACATGGCTGGATTTGTAGTCATGCTAATGTCTGTACTTGGTATGGTGGTCGTTGGTTTTGGTCTCACTGGAATTTTGGGAGCATCCAGGGTCTCGAACAGCAGAGTGTTCCCTATGAGTGTTGCCTCAACTTCTGCCTTGGGTGTCTCAACTTCAACAATGGCCACCGCAGCACCGCTTTCCTTGCAAAGCTTGTCCGCTCTGACTGCAAGTTTGGCATCATCTACTCCGACTCGAGTGTCACCTGTCAGGAGTTTGTCGACTGACGTAGATATTGCTTCATTTCTACTAGATGCGTATGCTTTGGCGCCGAATCAATCGGAGCAGTTCAAGGTTCATTTCCTCGGCGACTGTCATATAGTACTTCGACCACCCCATTGGTTCAGTAAGATGAAAAAGACTCCGAAGCTATTGATCAAGATCACACGGGGCGACAAGACTTTGGAGCACCAGGTTTCACCGTTGTTCGATGGGGTATACGCGCTGCAGATTCCTCGCGAAGATTCCTACGGCGTGCTCAATGTCACAGTATGGACTGAATCCAAGCCAAAGATCAAAGAAAACTTTGAAGTGGACTTTGGGTCGTCATGGTTCAAAGTTGCAGGGTGGAAGAAGGGATCCCGCGTTCTGACGGAGTCGATTCGTGGAGATTTGAATTCGATCCAGACAAGTCTGAGCATCTTCTACGACCACACTAAGACAGGGCTTTGTAAGTCATTACAGCAGCAGAGAGCCAAGATTTCTGCTCAGAGAGAAGCCGAGAAGGCTATGCTGCACTCTCATTTTGAGGCTGCGGCAAAGACGAAAGAGCTTTTGGTAGCGCATACAAAGGGCGTAATCAGAAGCATTTCAGGTACCCTGCATGATAGCCACGCGGCTGCTTCTTATGCAATCGAAAAGCATGCGGAGAACATCACCAAAGATCTAGCAGTCTACGCCCGCAACAAGACCGCGGTGATCTCTCGACAGTCACGTATATTAGCTCAAACAGCTACAAGATCGAATGTGAGAGCACTTCGCGGTCTCGCAGTCTTCAGTCAAAGACACCTCCGAGAGACGCAGAAAAAGGCGCTCCTGATATTGTGGAAAATCGGAGGCGTGCCCAAGAAGACAATAAAAGTGAAGGGCGAGGGCAAGGGACCATCTCGTGGTGGCAAGATATTCGTTCGTCGTGATGAACTGTGAGCTAGACTAGCGATTGGTGTTGGGATGGTTCAAGGCGTTGGGATGTTCTGTCTCTGTGACAATCTCTAGAGAGATCGGGTGTTTAGGGCTTATGAAAGGGGTATAGGTGATGCCTCAAGATATGCAGCGAGGGTGCTCTGGTGTCGGTCCGGTGCCCGTGTTGCAATTCCGAAACATGCTCTATGCTGTACCTCAACAACGAATCTACCTCATACGTTTGAGACAGTTTTAATACGTATTACAATGTGGGGGCTTCTCGGACAAACATCCAGTTCCTCCTGTGGGAATTTCCGAGAATGTGTATGCATATGCCTGTTCCCTTTCCATGCCTGAGTTTTTAGGTCCCCAAGATCCTCAGTCCTTTGCCTTCTTTTGACGTAACGACCTCTGCTGTCTCGTTTTCTGCCGCATCGTAACCTCCGGTCCTTGATCTTCTCAGCATGCTCAGGTCGAAAGTGTACATCTTTGCCTTGTCTACCAACTCAATCCTTAGATCAACAATCATACCATAAAACTAGATCCCAACTACGTCACAATGTAGGACAGAGGAGATGGGATCAAGCATTGGATCGGGAGCTTCAATTTCCCCTGCGTAGCATCTTGCGGATACATTTACTGTACGGGAAATACGAAGGGTACAGTCAATGGCATTTAGTGAAGTAACCCTTGATAACAATTATACAGTAGATGTAGAAGGAAACAGGGCGAATCTCAAGTGGTAGGCCTATGCTATTCTCTGCCACCTCCATAGGAGACACTAAACCCGTTGCATAGAACCGCAATCCGCAGTCATGCTGCACTGCAATCATCAATCTAGGTTACAATTTCTCGATCGCGTCCCTAAGGCTTTGTGAAGATGCGATCAGAGCACGAATGCTTGCCCATGTTTGAGGCTGCACAGGTGCAACCTCACGCTTCACCAGTACCACCCCTGCATCCTCCGCTCGCGACTCTATTGTCAGCATGGGACTCCCTGGCAACGCATGCGCTTCTCCATTCTCGTCAATGAACACTATCTTAACTTGCTTCTCACAATCGATGCTCTCCATCGCCAGCCTCATTGCCTTCAGATCCTGGCCGTACATCGTCTGCTCTTCCCACATCTTCCTCAACTCCTCCTCACAGATCTCATCGTAAGGGCTGGCTCCAACAAATCTTCTTTTCACGGAAAAAACCGCCCTTATGTCCGGTTGACACCAGATTTTATTGAACACCTTTGCTACCTCTGGCCACTCGATTGTGAATGTAGCCAGTAGGACCAGCAGATAAGTGAGCTGCTGCCCACGTGTGTCTTTTTTGGCGACATTTGGAAAGCGTGGAACGTCGCTGCGAGAGGGAACGGGAATGGAATGAAGTTCCTGGCTGTCGACTTCTGGGTCACACCACATTGCGTCTGTGGTGCCGAGGTGAGTCGACCAGCCTCGAACAGAGAGATTGTGTTGCTTTGCCAGACGCTGCGCTGCGGCTGCGGAAGGAGGGAGGGTGATGATAAGCGGCCCGCGGAACGAATTAAGCGACGTCTTGCAAACAGCCATGACGTTGCGAAGGATTTCGAAGGCCCAAGAGTCGGTGGCCCACCCTTCGTCGGCGTTGAGTTGGGTTATGTACTCCTTTATCACGCGTGGTATGGCTGCTGTTCGTAGGGCTCGAAGCTGCCCTTTGAGATCTTCCGTGTCATTTTGTTGCTGTTGTAACAGAGCGCCTTTGAAAATCGCGACTGTAGGTGCTTTTTTGGCCGCGAGTATAGCTGCCTCCAACTTCGTGACAGTGGCTTCTATTTGTTTGATTGTTGATACGACAGCACGGATCGCTGCTGCTTCTTCTGAAGATGCAAACCCGCCAGACCGTTCTTTTTCCGCTTCGATAGCTGCAACCGGGTCTTCGTTCGAGTGCTTTTCTTCAGTTTCGATGGTCTTGATGTGCTGCCGGAAGTCTTTGCTGGTAATCTTCCAGTCATTGTCAACATTCAGTAGAGCGAGTAGTTTCTTTTTCCCCATGTCCGGATGAGCATGGCGTAATGATTTGACAGCTGTACGAATCTCTTCATCGGTGGGGCCTGGAGACTGGTTCTGAGTCTCGGTGTATGGTTGGGCCATAATGGTAGACAAGTAGTCTTCGAAGTCGAGTCGAGAGACGCGATTTTGATAGAGAGGTTTCGATTTACAGCTTGCTGGTCTTTAACCCGAAAGGAGAAACATGACAGTGAGTGAGCAAGAGATCTTCGTCGTAGATGTAGCGTGATTGTGTTTGCTTCTCATCTCAATGTCGGAGGTGCTAATGGTTGCGGTCACGTAGAGATAGTTGCCATATAAGTAGCGGGCAATCAGAAGTAGAGCTTTCCGGAACAGTAATGTAAAGTTGAGATATTCAAGCACGCAAAGAGACCAAGACATCTTTTGTATATTTATTGGATAGACTTAGGTGATTAGTGTCTCGGCGAAAGACTTGTAAGACCTGCTATACAAGCAAGAAAAGCGGACAGAGAGCACCATTGCTTCTTGAACAGCATAGTAAATGCCTTCCAAATCACCAAATGATATACCTGATTTGAGCCTATTTCAGGGATATCGCCCTGTTGGAGTTGGGAGCTCTCAATAACCAAAATCCTATAGGTCCACTCGACGACAAATAATGCGAGAGACAGTTGTTTGCTGAAGTGTCTAGAAGCAGGGATATATATATCAGTGATGATCCCCTGGCCTTGTGGAGTGATGCAAGGCATTTTCAATATGGACGAAGGACAAGGTAAGCATATTTTGTTGTCGGACGTGACGAGCAGACGGAACAACAAAAAGCTTGGCGCTAGCCCGACTATGAACATCTGCACAACAGCTCCCCACATTTCTTTTCTTCACTATACACGACAACTCCTTTCCTCCTCTCCTCCCTATCGTCCCTACACGAGCTTTCACATATCAGCTATCTCGCTACCACCAACATGTCAGAAATCAACCCGGACCCAAGCTCCACTGAGGCATCCACCACCTCGCCCGCCAAAACAGAAGAAACCCAAAAAGACTCCGCTCCTGCTGCTACTAGCTACACCGAGATGGCTTCTAACGCCGCTGGATCAGCTACCACTGCTGCCGCCGGAGTCAAGGACAGCGTATTCAGTATGTTCGGTGGCGGGGCCAAGAAGGAGAAGAAAGAGGAGCCGGACGGCGAGACTGAGGACAGGAGTGGAAGTTCCAAAGCCAAGAAAGATGCGGAGGCTGCTGAGGCGGATGAGGGTGGGGAGGTAAGCCTGCTCTTACGTTTGCCCTGCCCAAATTCCTATCTTGTCCACTACGCAGGAAGCTGATTAGGTGGGTTTGTGTTGTATAGGACGACGCCCCCGACTCCCCAGATGTCCACTTCGAGCCTGTCGTGCACTTGACCGAAAAGGTAGAGACCAAGACGAATGAGGAGGCTGAGGAGCAGACATTCAAGATGCGCGCCAAGCTGTTCAAGTTCGATCGTGAGAGTCGGGAGTGGAAAGAGCGTGGAACGGGGGACGTGAGGTTGCTGAAGCATAGGGAGAACAAGAAGACCAGACTGGTTATGAGGCGGGATAAGACTCTGAAAGTCTGTGCGAATCACTACGGTGAGTGCTACCCTACATTACTGAATAACGGGGAAGTGGGGGTGCGGAGAGCGAGGGGCTTTGTGGGATATGGATTGATTTATGATTGTAGTCGTGCCAGACATGAAGCTCTCTCCCAACGTGGGCAGTGACCGAAGTTGGGTCTGGAACGCAGCTGCCGATGTCAGTGAGGGGGAGCCTGAGCCCCAGACTTTGGCTATTCGATTTGCCAACAGCGAGAGTACGTGCCGCCTTCCCTTTCCCCGGAGCTTTTGGGCGCTACTGACCAGTGCTATCCAGATGCCAACCTCTTCAAGGAAGCATTCATCAAGGCCCAACAAGAGAACGAGGCGCTGTTCACCAAGGGCGCCGTGGAGTAGACAGGACATGGTCTGGGAAATGGAAAAATAGAGGAGCGAAGCATTTGAGATCATGACCTCCACTCGGAACGAAAAATCCTTTCAGAATTTCGTAGAGTCCAAATCATGAACCAAGACTAGGTATACTAAGCTCTCCAACATCAGCAACTTTCGTAATTGCAGATTCTGCTACCGGCTTATCACTCATGCCCGCCCAGAAGTCGCAATGCTCATGTATAGTATCGTTGTTCGCTTGACTAGTTCTCTTCTCCGCGCAACATATGTGAAGAGTTACCAACTCTTCGTAGCTTTTGTCTATATGACTATGTAATTGCACAGTCACTTGCTACAGTTCCTCTAAATGTTGCCTTTACAAAACCTCCGCATATGCAATGCGAAGCGATATCCAAAGGTTTCCCATGATTCAAGAACTACCGCTTTCAACGCCCATATGTCATCATGGTCCATGGGTATCCGCTCCATTATATAATGTCCAGGTTCCTGTTCACACTTCCAAAACATTTTCCGATGGCTCCTAAACATCAGCACTTCTTCTTGGCAGCTTATCCTTTCCATTAACATCATCATCACCATCCTCGTCTCTCGCATCTTCTTTCGCCTCCACTGCGAATGAGACCTTGTACTCCTGCGCTTTGACTTCAGGCTCCGAGTGCTGCCGTCTCCTCAGTGTACGAACAGTCTCAACTTCGGGCTCAGCACCACTTGTATCTCTTGAATGTCTTGGGCGATCCAGCATTTCTTGTACTTCGCCCTCCCGTTGGCGATCTTCTTCCGCCGTCCTTTGACGTGGGAGACCTCCACTTGCATCTGCATGATGAACACCTCTGCTATGAGTAGACTCCATTGAAGCAGCTTCTTCAAATCTTTTCTTGATGGCGAGATCTTTCTCCAATTCTCGGAAACAGTCGGCATCACTTGGAAGCCACGAGCACTGCGCTCCCTTTACGCCAATCTCCAGGACCCAGCATGCTGCCAAGACCAGTATAAGCGTCAGCCACCAAAGCACGTTTCTGCCGAATCTCTCTAGGAAACCTTCCTTAACATCATAGATGATATTG